TTTTTTGTAAAGAATATGAAGGAGTATCAGTTGATGCAATAAAAAATATACGATTCCATTTAAAAAACCATTAATGACATTCATATGTTCTTTACACGTCCGTCTACAAAAAAAATATACCACCAGCATATGCCCCTCTCAAAACCATTCAACTTCATCTGAAACATTGTTTGCTATGAGTAATAATAATGACGCAAATCTAGATGGCAAAATGTGGTGAGCCACCCTGTATATACACCCCTATACTTCGTCCTCCATTTAATTGTTCTTAATAAAACAATACTTGAATACATTCAATTTATTATCACTGTAGAATGAGCACGTATTCGATCTCTAATGTCATAACGTTAGAAATAAAAATTAATTGGCCTCGTTGAAATCAGTGTTGATCTCAGACTTCTAGCAACAATTTCACAATAGCGAAACAAATGCTATCACGATGGTCTTGTTCTGAAACGAGAACGCAATTGTATCACTCGAAGGAAGTGATATTAAAAAACAATATGATTTCTGTCGTATGTAGAAGCATGCAGGGTGACACAATGGGGTCCTTGGGATGCGTGTTCCGTGACGTGCGGTCGTGGAACTCAATTCAGACAAAGGCACTATCTCGATGAAGCTGCTGCCGTAACGAATAACTGCAATGTTCCCCTTTCTGACAAATTGACATGTTTTGGGAAGAACTCGCACTGGTAATTATCATTATTTTTTGAATTATTTATGTTTGTTATATCTCTTTGTTTGCTGTTTGTTCTTGAAGGAACTTGAAATCATAAGTAGTACAAGTCAAGCATGTACGGAGAGTTCCGCTTTTTAGCGCTATTCGTGAAGTTAACATAGGGATTTTAACTCTTTATTCCCAGATTTCTAAATCTATGAATGTCCTAAATTTCATAAATTTCCCAAATTTATCACATTTTTTAAATTTCCCAAATTATCGAAACAAGTTTCCTGAATTTCTTAAATTCTTATCACATTTTTTAAATTTCCCAAATTAAAACAAAAATTCCTATATTTCCCTTTTCATTAAGTTCCCATTTCACAAATTACCAAAAATTCCTCAAGCTTTCTGAATTTCCTAAATTTCCTAATTCTTTAAATCCCCAAATTCCCAACTCTTAGAACTAAACAATTTGAAAGTGACTCCTGAAAATCTGCAAATGTTTAAATTCGAAACTTTCTATATTTATAAAGTTATAAACCGAACGATGTCCAATAAAACCTATTTTTCCTGCGTTACCATTTTCCCCAGGACTAAAACTTAGAGCGAACTACCGTATTGACCACTATACATTCTAACTTCCTTAATTTCCGCAACTTTGTATTATCTCAGTCCCCAAATCTGTCCATCCCCGATGGAACGAGCGTACTCTTATTAAGCCAAAAAATTTCAATCATCACTTCGTGCCAATTTTATGCCGCTATAAAACCACTTAAATTTTGATACGCGGTTCGGTTAGCAATTTCGCTCTGTCCTTCGGCGAATTCGTGGACAGTTAAGTCCTCACGGTATCTTTCTTGCTATTTAAGAACCAAAATCGCTGGAAAACAAGATTGGACGTGCTCGCTCGTCGGTTTATAATCCGAGCGAATGCAAACTGCTGGAATTTTAACGAGCCAGCATTGTGCCGTTCCAGCGACACTTGTCCAGCTGTCGGCTCGTTAAAATCCTCGAGAGCTTGTATTAGCCGAAAGTGTTAGGAAACCGACCGTGTTAAGGTGGCTTTATAGCATGAACAAGCATTCCGAAATTTAAACAGAACTGTGAATTTACCAACCTCGCATGGAACTACCGGACTGATCAGATTCCACGAATTTTAGGGATTATTCGTGTATAAGAATATCACCGTGTTGTATAACGCGTTTCAGTTGAAACATTGGCGCACCGTGCAACCTAACCTGTCTCACGTTCCGATATTTCTAAATTTCCATATTCCTAAATATTCAAATTTTTAAATTGACGAGTTACCGAAGCTTTAAATTCTTAATTGTCAGATTTACAAAACTTCCTGAACTCTTCTGTTCCCACATTTCAAATTCTTGCAACTTTCAACTTGCTAATTAGTTCAAAAAATTTTACGTTTTTGGAGTTTTAACTTTTACAATTATTCAATTTTTAAGTTCGTCTACTCGTCACATTTTTAATCTTTGTGTTTTTTAGTTCTTCCATTCTTTAACTTCTCTATTTATCAATTCTTTAATTATTCTGTTTTTCAATTCTTCAATTACTCACTTCTTCAGCTCTTTAATTCTTTAGTTTTTCAATTCTTTCATTATTCCATTTCCCAATTCTTCCCTTCTGTAAGAATTAAATTATTCAATTATTCCATTATTCAATTACTTAATTATTCAATTATTCGATTGTTCAGTTATTCAATTGTTCGCTTGTTCATTGTTCAATCGTTCAACTGTTCAGTTATTCAATTGTTCAATTACTCAGTTACTCGATTATTCAATTACTCCATTGTTCAATTATTCAATTATTTAATTATTCAGTTGCTCAATTATTCAATTACTCGATTATTTAATTACTCAATTGTTCAAATATTCAATTTTTCGGTCTTTCCATTTTTTAATTTTTCAATTTTCCAGTTTTCAATTCTTTATTGGAATTTCTTCATTTATTGGATTATATAATTTTGGATTAGGTAATTTCTTCATCTTTATTGGAGTTTCTCATTTTCTTAAATATTTCATCTTTTCAGTTCTTCAATCTTATGAAATATAATATAACATTCGAATACCGGTAAAATTCGGATTTAACATTCGACTATTCAAATAATTCCAATAATAGATGCTCAAATTATTCAAATAATTAAGCACCAGAATATTGAATAATTCAAAAATATTAATATATTTAATAACTCTACCGAAATTGAATGCTTGAATACCTTGAATAGTTCTAATATTCAAATAATAATATTTAAATTTCAAATTCACGTTTGACTGTCAGACGTATCACGTGATGATCCGAATTACACCGAAAAGAAACGAAGTTACGCGACATGTCATCGCTCATTCGTTTACCGCAAATCTTACCACAGTAAAATCTGGAAATAAACGAAAGTTTGAAATAATAAATAAATATATTCCGAATGACGTCGTGTTTGATCGTATTTTAACCAGAAAAGTGACACAAATATGTTGGTAAAAGTTTCACAACAAAAAATATTATCCCTTCATTAGAATTGTCTCATCGATATATTACTGTTTACCTTCCATTCGGACATTTTCTTCGCTCGCTTTTCTACGTTCGCCAAAATATCAATAAGATCTATACGCGAAAGTTCATACCTAAAAGATTCACTTATATCGAGTCTTTATACGTTTTGTAATAGTATCTGATTAACATAGATTAAAAACGAGTGGATTTTGTATCGATGCAGTAAAGGAGAGCGTCACCCCGTGTCGAACACAGAAATGTGCGCTCTCGAAAATTGGAGTAGCTGGAGTTCGTGCACAACAACCTGTGGACCAGGTCACAAAACCAGATCAAGGAACTTCCGCGAGAAGAAACATCGCAAAATATGCAAAGCTGGCATGGATAGATCGGACTTTCAACAGACGATCGACTGTGAGAACGAACCGTGCCCTGATGAGGATGCGGATGAGGTAAGAGAACCGTCTAACCAGGCGGACGAGAATGATGTGGAGCAGGAGGACAATGGTGATGGAGAGGATTACGAGGGAGAGGAACCGGCGGTGGAGGTAACCGAGGAATGGCAGCAGGTACAGAACCTTCGAGAATTTCATGGAATTTACTAATTATTATCGCGTAACTGTATCGGCTTATCTTTCGATTACCTCACGAAACACGCGTGCACTTCGACAATAACAGTTTCAATTCGGTCGTAAAAAGAACGAAACGGAGTAAACGTAATTTTGAACTGGAAGGTAGTATCCGAATATTAAAGCAAGGAGAAATGAGCATACTTGGTCCTATATTTATGGACATTTAATGGCCACTTATATTTAAATTGAAATTATATTATGGAAATAAATAATTATACAATAATTTTATATAAATAATTATTATCCAATATATACAATAATTTATTATATAATAATATATTATAATTTATCTTGATGAAGGTTATTTTGACAAAAACTTGATAATGATTTTTGTATTTGAAAATAAGAAATCCGACATTTTTATGGACAGCGTAAATCTAGTGTTAAAATGTTAATTGTGTTCGATATGTGTCTATGTCGATTCTAAGTTTATTTCGATACATCGATATCCCATAATTATATATACAGAATTAGCAAGTTTAAGACATATAAGATATGAACATTTGGAAATTTAATATTCGGATATTTGGAAATTTGGAAATTTAGCATTCGAGAATTCGGAAATTTGAAATTTGAAAATTTAAGATTTGAAAAATAGGAAATTTAAAAATTTGCAATTTGAAATTCGGAAATCCAAAAATTTCAAAATTGGAAATTTAAGAATTTGAGATTTGAAATTTTGAAAATTTGGAAATTCGGAAATCCAGAAATTTTAAAATTGGAAATTTAAGAATTTGAGTTTTGAAATTTTGAAAATTTAGAAAATTGAAAATTTGGAAATTTGAAAAATTGAAAATTTTGAGAATTTGGAAATTTGGAAAATTTGGAAATTTGAAAATTTCAAAATTGAAATCGTACTACTTAATTAAAATCTCTATAAACCTTAAAAAACTCAAAATGGAGATATTCATTCCTTGTTCAGAAAAATAATTAACAAATTGTCGATCATCGTGTAACACAGACCGTATTGAAAGATCGCCTTTCAAATAACACAGAACACACGAATCGCCACTAACGAATTTCGACGTGTCAAAATAATCTCGTTCAATTCGCTAGTTAACTGAAAACCATACCTGCACCATTTCTCGCAGATCCATCGATGGTACTGGCATCCTCACGTAAGTCGAGCGATTTACTCGTGAGAAAATTGAAATCGACGATCCACTAATTCAAGGTACGAGTGAGTTAGAAGCAACGGAGAAAATCCTCTCTAGTATCGCAAATCAAATTTCAAACGGGTAATGGTTTCGATATCATTAAAATTTAAGCTGAAATACTTTCTATATTTCGAACAATTTCACAGTTACCTCGCGCAATTGATGTTATTAAAAATTTTTATACTTCAACGATTAAATTTTTAACGACGAGCTTATGATTTCAATATTTAAAAATTGTTATTATTTGAATCTGCATTATACCAGCTTTTGTATATCTACATTTTTATTTAAAGAGTTATTTTTTATGAATAATTTCTTTGCATTTGAAGTATAATTTATTACAATTTAAATTGTGACGGTACGAGTTGTAAACAATAATATTTATTGTTATTTTCAATAAAGATTTGATTTCTCTTCTGCTCACTCAATATAACATGTATGTACATTCATCATCTCATGTTGTGCATTGCAAGTGAAGTGTTAATCAATACATTAATTCTATGAATTAATTATTACGGCATACATATTATGACATCGATTAATTCGTTCATTTACATGTACTGTCTATGTATAGTAAGCTATAACATTTTTCACGAACGTTTCACGAAACGTTACTAATTCTTCAACGTCATAAATTTAATCTAAATCATTTATTAAAATCGTTTATTTTAACTTTAATGTAAACTTGATTTAAAACTTATTCTAATTATTCTATTATATTTATTGTTTTGTCGATTTAACTGTTTTTTGTAAATACATATTTTTTGTAGATACATATAAATATTTCAAAATACATACAATTCGTATTTAAATTCCATGTTAATATTAAAAGATTTGAAATTATTTCCAAGAATTGAATTTTCACTTAACTTAATATTATTTTAAACTAAATTTTTATTTAAAATTGTACAGTAAATGCACTAATGAAGGCAAAGAAATTACAAGTACAAAAGGTTATATTTAAATTGTTACATATGAATTAAGTAAAATATTAAATAAACAATGCATTCAATGTAGAATTATAATAATTACAAGTTTATGATTATAAATGATTATTACAAAAGAACTTGTGTTTGTATAAAGATTTAATTTTTTTGTCGATTGATCCCGCAATTAGAAGTGTCCTGAGGATCGTTACACACAGTGGTCCGATTGGTCCCCATGCAGCTCAAGTTGTGGTCCTGGTGTCCAGCTGAGATCCAGATTGGTGATAAGAAGTTGGGGCAGTGTGGGAGACAACAACGAGAACCTCAACATTGACGAATGCAAACTGCAGCAAACTGCCTGTGTAGCAAATATTCCAACCTGCGATTTTACCAAGAAAGATGCTGAACGTAAGTTAAAGTCACTAAACTTACCGATCTATAATTTACACAATGGATCCGAAGGATCTGTCGAGTGGCTTGACAGTCGTTAACCTCTTAGGTACGATGCACCACTATAGTAATATGCATGAATACAATCTTTCTGTACGATGATCCATTATAGTAGCTTTGGCAAATCTCATCGTAGATTACACAGCGACACTACAGAGGCTCACTCTACTGACTCACTCGATCACCGTTTCAATTGAATGACTGTCTTCATAAATTTTGATTCGCTTTTTTGCCTTCACCACGTTTTATACGAGTATTAACAAGTCCCACAAAAGTATATTACATGCAAATAAAAGGTACCAAGTAGTTCCGGCACTATGGGAACATCTCTTTGCACTAATACACGATATTGGAAACATCTGGAAATTACATATTTTGTGAATTTTCTGAAAAAGTAAATTATCAAAGTTGAAATATATGTATCATATCTTTGGGAAAAATTATAATTTAACCATCAAAAACTACATTTTAATGTACTCGCGTGAAGAATAGCATTGTCATATATTGTAGTACTGTTTACCCATAATTCGCGCCGAACTCTGCAGTACATAAGCAGCGCTGCGTAAACTTCAACCGTGCCTAAGAGGTTAAGGATCGAAGATCGAAAATCGATACAACAGCGTAAAACAACTTCGGTGTTTCTCCCCCTTTTGATGGGACCGCACGAAAGCGATAAAACTGCGCATGCGCACAAATTACTCAATTCACGACAATAACCTATAATGCACACTTAATTTAAAATTAAAAATGGGGAAATAAATAAACAAACGATACAATTTTAATATATCAAAATTTAGTATATAGTGTAAGAAAAATCTTCTCAAAGTTTGAGCTGAAAGATTTAAATTGAAGAGGTCATTAAATTTTTTAGTGAGTGAAAGCGAAAGAAAGAAACCGCCATAATACATTAATTCTTTATCTTGATAGAAATTAACACAAGTTTCAAGAAACGCATTTCAATAAATTTTGTAATTAAATAAATAATGTAATTTAATAAATAAATAAATAAATTCTGAGTAGTTGAAATGACGGTTTTAGAGTTTCACCTCAATTTTAGCATCGTGCAAACTATTGTAAACTAGTGTAAACTGTTATAACTTGATGTAAACTATTGTAAACTGTGTGTCCCAACTACAGAAGCTTTAAATCAGTTTGCACTACTGTTCACAATGCGTTGCAAATTCTTATGTGAAGATAAAAATTGAAATTGATTACAGAAATCTGCAGTGAACCGATGCAAAAAGGACGATGCAGTGGAAACTTTATACGTTCGTATTTCGACAAACAAGCGGTTCGTTGCCGTATGTTCAGTTATTCCGGTTGCGATGGAAATCGCAACAATTTCCCAACAGAACAGGACTGCATAAATGTTTGCAGAGACTTTCAGAGTGAGTTTCGCTTCTCGAACATTTTCCCTATTCTCGATTTAAAGAACTCGATATCGACGTTCAGAAAGTTACTCCGAACGCGGAAATAAATTTATAAAACATGGATCGAAACTGTAACTTCCTTTTCTCCTTTTAAAGTTGCTTATTCTACTAATCTTATTTTTTTTAGGAAGAAAATGAAGGTAATGGCGGTTCAAAAATAATTGTAATAAAACAACAGTAGGAAGTTATTTATTGCAAGTTACCCTTTGCAAACTTAAATCGTGCTATCTGAAATAAATTTGGTAGACATTTTTTAAATAAAAAATTTGAATGTTGCAAATAACTTGTAGGTATTGATATGGTCAACAGTAACTAGTTTATATTCTAACTTGGTTATACTAGATTTATTAATAACGAACTAGATTTTTCACATTTTCTACAGTTTGAAATATAATACTTTTAAAATAAAAAATCGAGAAGTGTCAAGTTGAAATATTTTATAGCTAAAAATAGTTTTAGTCGCGTTAGCGCCATGGTTTTTTCGTGGCTGCTTTTTAAATATGGCGGTATTATAGCTACAAAGTGCTGTGACAAAAATTGCAATGTTCATACCAGATTTTAATATAAAACCATCAACAAAACTTCATCTACTATATTCTGATTGGCCATACATGTTAACGAGCAGCACCTGTGCCGTATTTCATAGTTTTAGTCAAATTTATCAAAGATAACGCACGTGTTTCCGACGTCGTTCGCAGCCATTTTCATCGTATAAAATTAAGTACTTCGGTACGTTAGTAATTAAATATATTTCATTAAAAAGCACGTTGCAGGTAACAGCAGATTGAGGAGCATCGATCGAGTATTTACTAATAAAGTCAAATATTGAATATTTAAACGAATTTTATTCAGATTTGCAGTTCTCTTCGTTTACGATCATGTTCAAATAAAATTCACTTGTAAATAAATTTCATTTTGTTTTATTCAAATAAAGTTTTGTAAATAAATCACAATTAGTATTTGCACGTTGCGTATGCAAACAATAACGTCGACGATAGGTAAATATAAAAAATAAAAAGCAGTTATTTTCGAATGTGTAGCAATGAGACATCATTGGGCCGTTGATGATAAAACTTTCTTGTGATAAATCTAGAATAAAATGAAACTTAAGAGTACTTTATCGGTACTTTTTATTTGTGATGATACTTAATTTTCATTTCCAGAGTATGTGAATGTAAGAGAATAATTTCGTACAAAGTTTTGATGCGTTTTAATCATGATTGCATAAAGTGAATACTTTTGAGAGTTGACGTTTTACTTCTCTGGAGTCGAAAATGTCCAACTTCCCCAAATATCGGTGACCGCCATTGCCTCATTCTCTACCCAAGAATGAAGTCTCTCAAGCTTCAGAACTTTTTAACATTGCATGTTCTTTAATTTCGAATAAAGAAAATTCTAAATAAAGAAAAGATAAACTTTTCAGTTTAATGTATTTGATACTATTTCAATGAATGAATTCATACTATTTCTATTTCTTTAAAGCGTCTATTCATAAGTGCAATTAATTTCACCTAATTAATAACTACATTTTAATAATGTAAATTATTTTTATAAATTCATATTTTTTAAATGAATCTAAATGAAAATTTGTTCAGATTAAAAATAAGATATTTCACGTAATTACAAAATATCCTTAAATGTAAATTAGTAACATGATTAATCAATGTTAATTGATCAAACTTGAAAACAACTACTTAGAGACTTAAAGTTAATATTTGAAAAGATTTTTACAGCGATCACACACTCGTGTATCCGATTACATTCTTATGCGTCCGACTACATTTACCTTATTAAATATTGATTTAATTTTAACGAGATCTTAATCCTTGCTCTGTGCACGCTTGCTCGTAAAACTAACGCAGGAGACTTTAGGACAAACACGTCGACAGGGATGAAAAACTATAAAGTGTCTCTCAGCAGCGTTCTCAGCTATCACATACCTGCTCAGGAACAGCGCAGCACGAAGATAAAACGAGCACACCACGGTGATGCTAACAATCAACATATTTCAATCGATGTTTAGCGATAATTTAACTAATTTTATATAAATTCCTTTGTTAATTAATTTCAATTAATTTATCATTCATTTGTTAATTTTAATTAAAGTAACTTTGAACATAAAAACTAGAACGTATAATTTTGGGACATATTCAATTTCATCGATTTTTAAATAAATTAGGATTTAAACAAGTTTTACGTTTTAGAGATATCATCAATGATCTAAAGAATTTTTTGGTGTAGAATTTCTAGTGTGTTTGATGATTAATCATTTCATGTGCAGCAATCTTAATAGCTTGTTAATTTAGATGCGACGAATACAATGTTAATATATATTCGATGTTTGTGTTGATCACTGAAACTTTTCGAAAAAAAAATATTTTTGTCCATGATTGCTTTTGTAGATTATACAAAATATACGTGCATCATATGTATATGATATGATATTATATATGAGTATATGATATTATATAATGTATATTGTCTTCTTTCAGAAAGTTTAGAATTCAAAGGTATACAAACAGACAGTCAAGTAATGGAATCACCTGAAATGGAGGACATCGATTGTCAAGTATCTGAATGGAGTAATTGGTCAAAATGCATAGGATGTACTGGCTATACAGTCACTACCAGGGAAATTTTGGTAAATATTTAGTTATAATTAAAGATAAACAAGAAAATCATCGAAATAAGCAGTTTTACATTTTATTTATTTTTTAATTTATATGAAATAAATCATAATAAAAGAAAATTAATAAAATCAACTGATATTTATACGGCATAAATTATTCAATTTTAATAATCTAGGTGCCTCCCAAAGGTAATGGTAAAAATTGTCCAAAGAAATTGCGTCGCAAGAAGAAATGCCATAAAATTCCACCCTGTTGTAAGTACCTTCATTGTTAACATAATCAATAGAACTAATGAAATAGTTCAATTTTATTAAAAAGAGAACAATTTGAAATTGTCAGCTTTGCAAAGGGATGGACCGAGCCGACGCATGTATCGTGATCGAAACTCCGAAGCAGAAGAAAATCAGGGTAAGTTTTGATTAATGATAGTGCAACTATAATTAATAATATCACGGTAATGTGTCCAAAATAATTTCTTTTAATATTAACTTGAATCACTCGTATAATAAATTTTATCTTTTCATTTTAATAGTGATTACACGTTAAAAATACATTAAAATATTAATGAGTAGCAATATTGAATTATACAAAATTTGATAGTAATAAAATGTATAACAGAATCTTGAATATTCTATGAAATCAATAAAGTATTATATAATATATATATATATATATATATATATATATATATATATATATATATATATATATATATATATATATATATATATATATATATATATATATATATATATATATATATATATATATATATATATATATATATATATATATATATATATATATATATATATATATATATATATATATATATATATATATATATATATATATATATATATATATATATATATATATATATATATATATATATATATATATATATATATATATATATATATATATATATATATATATATATATATATATATATATATATATATATATATATATATATATATATATATATATATATATATATATATATATATATATATATATATATATATATATATATATATATATATATATATATATATATATATATATATATATATATATATATATATATATATATATATATATATATATATATATATATATATATATATATATATATATATATATATATATATATATATATATATATATATATATATATATATATATATATATATATATATATATATATATATATATATATATATATATATATATATATATATATATATATATATATATATATATATATATATATATATATATATATATATATATATATATATATATATATATATATATATATATATATATATATATATATATATATATATATATATATATATATATATATATATATATATATATATATATATATATATATATATATATATATATATATATATATATATATATATATATATATATATATATATATATATATATATATATATATATATATATATATATATATATATATATATATATATATATATATATATATATATATATATATATATATATATATATATATATATATATATATATATATATATATATATATATATATATATATATATATATATATATATATATATATATATATATATATATATATATATATATATATATATATATATATATATATATATATATATATATATATATATATATATATATATATATATATATATATATATATATATATATATATATATATATATATATATATATATATATATATATATATATATATATATATATATATATATATATATATATATATATATATATATATATATATATATATATATATATATATATATATATATATATATATATATATATATATATATATATATATATATATATATATATATATATATATATATATATATATATATATATATATATATATATATATATATATATATTGAAAACAATATTAAGTAAATTTGTAAAAAGGGCAATATATATTGTAATAAAAACTACAATATATTTTTGATAACAAATACTTAAGGTTATACTAACACTATTAATAATTATTTTAGTGTCTACTACTTTATGAAGGCAGTAATTCATGAAATGACTTTATGCATTCATGAAATGACTTTAGTGCATAATAATATTATAATATGATATGTAAATTATATAATATTAATTATTAAAATTGCATTTAGTTTCAGTTGACTGCAAAATGACGCAATGGTCTCCTTGGTCACGTTGTACAGCCACCTGTGGAGATGCATCACAGTATAGAACAAGGATAGTAAAAGTTGAACCCTCTGGTCCTAGAGGCAAACTATGCCCTGCTTTAGTAGAATATAAGAAATGTCATACAGTGAAATGTCCATAAAAGTACAGAAACTTTTAGTATGTATATTTTCTACTTTATTCTTATTTTAAAGTTGATTGAATCTTGGATTCTCATTGAATTTTACTTATGTATTGTGAAATCAAGCGTAATAAACATTATTTTACTTCAATTCTTTAACATCGTATGACACCATAAAATTATTATAGAATGTAGTAATTCTTTGATCAATTATTGTTATATTTTTAAAAGTTACATAAATAAAAATGACAATCAATGTCTTCAAATATGTTACAATATTGGTGTTTAAAGCGCTTGATACACAGATACATAAAAATGCAAAAATTTACTTAATCTTTTTATAATTTCATTATAAAGTTCAGTGAAAAAGCTATTTTACAATTGACAATTATATCCTGGTAAACTTATCATAGGTATAGTAATATTACCATTATATTGTAAAATACATTGAAAACAAAACTCTTTGTTTGTCAATAAGTAGTACTACTTAAACTCATTAAAATTAACAAAAATTTCTAATCAGTACAGATATGTTTATAGTAACCTTTTGAAATTTTAATATAACATAACGCACAAAAAGTCATGCCATATTTTTAATCTGTTCCTCCTTTCAGATATTTTGAATTATATAATGATAGAAATATATTATCAAACAATATTACATATACAAAAATCAATTAATCGTTATTGTCACATCTTGATAGTTCTTTTAGTTAAAAGGAAGCGCATTCCAGTTACTTGCAAAGGCAAACAAGATTAATAGTTAGATTTAGTTTTTACCCAATTAAATTATACTGAAGATTCTGTTCAAAGAAATTTTATAATAAATTGAATTTAAATTACTATTATAAGAAGTACAATTTCACAAATGTTTTATCAAGAATTAACTTGTTTATCATAAATAATTTATATTCATTTGTGCGAGCATCATTATGGAACATATATTTATAGCATTTACAGTGTAAGATTTAAGAAAATATAGATCTCAGTTTAAGACCAAATACTTCAATTAATAATTATTAAAATTGTACATTTAAGGTTTAAGTAAAATCAGTTTCAATTGCCATAAATAATGAAAAAATACTTATAAGTGTGAAATACTAATTGTTTTTATATATGCTGTTATCCAAAAGTTTAATCTCAATACTTTATTTTCTGAACGAGGCAGGATAAACAATATGCATGCAAGTTGTAGTTTATATATTATTAGTTGTAAACAAAACAAATGTGTCCATAATTTTTATAAATTGAAATATTTTGCTTATTAGTCTGTTTTCTAAAACGTTAAATAAATATAAAGTATTTACATCCATTTAATTTCAAAGTTGTTATTGCATAATATTTTATAAGTGTACTTATTTAACTTCCTGTCGAATTCTGATGAATATAAATATTTTTTGGAATTTGTTCATTATCATTTCCTAATATAAGATTTGCTGACTATAATCTACTATCTCCTTCAATTTTGAAATAGGTGACTAAACTTTTGGATAATAATATATATGTTACATATCTTTAGATAATAAGATGTTTATTTATTAATAACAAATCATTGTTACTATGTTAGTCTCTTCACTTGTATCTGACAATAATGATATATGTATACAATATAATATAAAATGAACTTCAAAACTGTGTTCCATCCTATTATTAATACAGTTATGAATAAAACTGATTACAAATTTAATGTTGATTTAATTGTTATTGATTGTTTGAATACTGTTAAAATATATGCTTTATAATTTTTTTAATTGCAAATAACTTAACATGAAAAAAAGTAAGTTTCGTATCTTACTCTATCAAAAATATAACTTGATTCATATTGTTACTCCATATTTTAAAGAAAGATTTGAAAGTGATTTATTATTTAATTTTAAATAAAATAAATAAATAATCCAGTAATGTTTATGTAATAATATTAATTTACATCATTTATTTTTCTACTGTTCATATTGACACAAAACTTATATTTTTTTAAATCAGGAATCATTCTTCTCATTATTTTTATTTTCTGGAGGTGAATAAACCAGTATTGTAATATCTCCTTTTCCCTTTTCCTTTGTCACAATTCCATTTACCTTCTTCCTTATATATTGTACTACATCCACCTAAAATATCATTATTTTGTTTTCACTTGTGAAAAAATCTGGAAAATACAGACTAACACTACTTAGTTCTTATAATTAGGATGTTAATATTTTTTTCTTCATTTACAAATTATTATATAATCTTGTTTAATTTTAAGTATTCACAAAAATATAGGTTTTAATTAATATTTTTTAAATTATTTACTACAAAAATTAATTACTTCCTTATACTATATTAATTACATGAAACATTAATGTATTACAAAAAAATTAAACATTAAATACAAATGTATATTTAGTATGATTATAGATCCTAAGCAATCAATCTAATTATTTTGATAAATGTTGACTTCTTCTGTTACCTTATTTGTATTCTCAGCAGCACAATTTAATATAATGGTAACCAAATGATTTTTTTTTAATAACCTGTTTATATTATTCACTTTTGTTTCTAAATCATGTTCATTGATTTTAGCAAATATAGTGAAACTTTTATTGCTTCTATTATTCTTCTCTTTTTTATTATTTTGAAGATCTACTTGGGTGTCGGCATTACTGTTATTAATATATGTTGCATGATCCACAATTTTGTAAATATCTCTAGAACCTTTAGTATCAACATATGGCATCTTAATTAAAAACATATTACGCCGTTTAGCAATCTTAGCTGCTTCATTCAATAGAACAACACTCAAAGATCCATCTGTATTCTCAAGTGTAATTTTGGGAAGTGGTATAGTTTTTTTTCTTTTTTTCTTTTCATCTTCGTCATCACTTAAATCATCATTAAACTTACAATCTGCAGTAAGCTTTAATGTTCTTAATAGTACAAAATTATTCTTCAAACAATCAACACTACTATTTGAAAGCAAATTATTTGCATGATGTAAAAATTTTATTCTTTTCAATGGTCCTAACATGTTACCTTCTTTTAAGTAACATTTAACATAAGCTCACTGAATACTAGAACATAATGAAATAATAAAAACTCATTAGTAATTTAATACACAAAAGAACGATTTTTCATATTTCTTATTAATTCTAAAGTACATTGTAGATTCAACCCAGTTACAGTTAAACGTATAATTTCTCTATGTAAAATTAAATATTAATGATAAATAAAAATTTATTTTAATAGATCAATTTTTTAATATACTAGCAACATTTTCATATAACTTAAAATATATTATTATTAATCATTTTTTTAATATTAATTTTTATATATTAATATTATGAAATGATTCATGTTTCCATAATAATACGTAAAAGAAAGTTATATTTTTTAAAGGATATTATAAAAGACTGGTAAAAACTAAAATCGTTTAAAAGTAAATTATAGAAATTAATACATAAAAGAAACCAGAATTGAACATTTAAAACAAAACTCACATCAAAATAATATTTATATGGAAATCCATCGATATTATTAACTATATAACAATATTTCAATATCGTAGTAAGTATAAATTAGAACGTCACATTTATATTATTTCAATTACACCGCGTATAAAATTATTGAAAAAGTTTCTACAATTCCATGACTAGGTTATAATATATGTGCAGCAGACTAACAATAACTACTCCAATGTAGTATAGAAACTATATACAAACCACTATAAACCATGTGCACAATTACTGATTATGAAACAAAAATAACGCCATCTTCTGAGGAAGAGAAACAATAAACTAAACTAAACTTGAACCAGAATTCTAGTTTTATTTACTGAATCTTTTAACGCACATACTCTTATATGTTCATATGCGTTCAAAATTAAGTTCAATTTAAAATAAAATATTTAAATATAGTATCATTTTATACTGAATTTATAAGCGCCATCTTTTCGGTGAATAGAGTGAACTACACACTTTTAAAACTGTAATTTAATTAGTTCTCATCTTTTACTGCTAGATGGCGGTATATGAAATAAAAATATAGAGAATGCGTCTCTATATTTAAAATTAGTTAATAGATTAAAACTTCAAAAATAACTGATTTATTGATATTGATTTTGAAATGCGTGTTGCTGAATTTAAATTTGATTAAGGAATGAATAGCGAACGTTTTTCTTTTTAAAATATACAATTGAACAATAAAATTGAATGTCAAATATAAATAGAAATCTTCTTTATCGATGGCTTGAAAATGAAATTCTTCTTGATCGACGATGACTCTGATGATCACCACAAAAATATGGTGATCATCGGAGTCGTCGTCGGTCAAGAGGAGTTCTATTTTCAAGCCGTTGATAAAGAAGAATTTTATTTGTACTTGATATTCAATTTTATTTATGTTCAATTGTATTTTAAAATGCAAAACGTTCGTTATTCATTCCTTGATCATATCTGAATTCAAAAGCACTTATTTAAATTCAATCCAAAATTAATTTCAATAAATCAGCTATTTCTGAAGAGTTATTGCTTAATTGACTATTTAAAATATAGAAAAACAAACTCTATAAATGTAGTAACCATTAGAGTCGTCGGTCAAGAAGAGCTCTGTTATTAAAACCGTCGGCTAAGAAAAGTTCTGTCTGCAATTCTGAACAAATTATCAATGTTTAAAGCAATCGTCGTTTGATCGTATTCAATTTTATTTTAAAGAGAAAATCGTTTGCCATTCATTCTGTAATCAAACCTTAATTCAAGAACATGTATTAAACTTAAATTCAGAATCAATTCAGAGTGCAATCAATTTTCGGTAATTCCACATCTGACCTCTAGATGACGATGGCGGTATTATTCTCAGTCAATGAGCGCAAAAATTTAAATTTTTAAATTCATGAAAAATTAAGACTGCCAAAGTGCTATCAACTGTTTGAATGAATTGCTTAATTAATACACTGTTGCCTTTTTTATCCTTTCTATATATTGAATCGCCGCAACACTTCCGATATAAATGTAAATTGCAATGTATGATTCAGTTATAAAAATGGTTAAATTGTGATGTAGTTTCTAAAATCACTTTCTGAAATGTAAAGTGCGCAATAAAATTACTTGCAATTAATAATACGCATGTATTTGTAAAAATTTTACTATTTTTTAATTTCGAAACTGGTTTTTGTAAATTAGGCATAATGTATTTCAATGCGCGAATTGTATTGTGAATAGTAGGGACCTGTTCGCCTTGGCTGCCATTTTCCCCAGGAAGGCCAGATTTGCACTGGAGTGTACAAAAACTCGAGATTAGTATCTAAATGCATCTAAATCTCAGTAAATGAAAATGGCGATTTCATGATGGGTTGACGACGAATAAAAAAGTAATCAATTCGTAAAGTATACGAAATAATTCTCATAAGATATTCGTTCCACGCACTAAAGTATTCGTAATGCGCAGGTCGCTTAATAAATATGCGATTTGTGTTATCGTTGTCCTTGCTTTGTAGATAGACAATTATCGTAATTGTAAGTAGGACAGTTTTGACAGAAAAATTTGGTTAGTTGGAACTGTGGAACGTACAGAAATTATTTGTGCTTATGGCTGCTAATATAAAGATAATACGAATAATTCAAAGCAGGAAAGATGCATGAAATCAGATGTTTAATAAATGTGAAAGTAGATGAAATATAAGTCGAAAAAAATGAGCTGGTTACGAAGTAGTCCGCTGAGAACTAGTTTTAGTAAGCAGCGATCAAGAGACTCTCCGCCAAAGGACGCTGATCCATCGGCATGTTATGACAGCTTCTGTAAACACTGGCAACAAGCTTATGAAATTATCTTGCACACAACTGTAAGTCTATGTTTTAAGTCTTTAATAAAAATTTGAAAACTTTTCAAATGATAGTTCTTAAATATTCTAAGTTCTTCTGTTTTTATGAAAAGTTATGAGAGTATGCAATACAAAACATATAAGGTGTCCTATGTTAAATGATTAAACTTTATTGTTATTTAATATAATAGTACCTTATGTATGCGTAGGTGGGTATGATGTACACATAGGTCTACAAATACTTTGTTATCACAAAGAAGTTTATTTATGATTCTATTTCATAACATAATTCTTTGTTTGGAATGTGAGTTTAGCATTACAGATAGATTAAACTTAGTACTTTCAAAATTTTATGTGTATTTTAGTGTATCTCGCTAAGTGTTTCACTGGTTTGTTGTACTAGTTTTTGTTATGAACCAACTCTTATGCAATGCAGTATTGCTTTTTACAGGTCACCACAGATAAGATTTTAATGACTTAAAATTTGGAGATCTTTCTAATCAAATAATGACCTCTGACCAATTCACCTTCCATAATGATTATCTAATCATTCTGTGATCTTAAAGGTCTCATATAATGTATAGAAGTCATCTAATTAGATTTACATATATCAGATATGACTAAGATATCTTATATACCTTATATTACAAATTTAAAAACTTGAAAATTGTCGAATATCTAAATTTTCAAGTTTCCACGTTTTTGAATTTCGGGAAGGTGTTACACATCAATGTAACAAAAGTCTATTGTACCTTAGTTCAGCCTATGAATAAATATTATTGGTCCATCTTTACATTATAAAGTATTAACTGCGAACCTGCTAATATTCTTAAGTTTTATATTTTTGCTATATCTTTTGTAAACCACTTGTGGATCTATGTGTTTATAACTTTTCTCACTTTCACGTATAGTATATATAGCTAAAGTTTCATCATTTAACTTTCAAACAGCCTGTATAGTATTTTAGATAGACTTAATATTGATGATTCTATAGCCACCTAAAGGGATACCAAATCAAGATGATGTTCTTGGAGTTGTTAATCACATAGACCAAATGGTAACTCTTTTATTATTGGAATTACGAGATGCCAACTTTTATAATAATTATCGACAATCTACAACGGCAACACATTCTCCATGCCTGGAATATTTGTTAAGTGAAAACCTTCTTGTTAAACTTTATGACTGGAGCATACACACTGGAAGGTAGAGTCTTCATAAATAAATACCAATTGGTATCTGATATAAATATTCTATTGATAACTATTTTATTACAAAAAATATAATATTATAGGTTTAATAATGCTGTACGTTTGGAACAGTTGAAACTGTATGAACTTTTAGTATCTCATAGCGGTACTCTTCTTGCCCATGAACCAGTTGCCAGACCATTGTTACGATTACTTGAAAATTGTGCAAATGATATTATGCCATTAGAAGTAGAAAAAAAATTAGTAGTGTTATTAAATCAATTATGTGTTGCATTGATGCAAAACATGGCTTTATTAGACTTGTTTTTTCATCCAACAGCAGTAGGCAAAAGCAAGTTGGTACAAGATATATATTTTACTTATCTGCAATAGATATGTGATTAAATTTATTCACTTAAAATATTTTCAGATTCATTATTTTTACATTACTAATACCACATGTACATCGAGAAGGTGGAGTAGGGCAGCAAGCACGTGATTCCATGCTACTTTGTATGTCTCTCTCTAAAAAGAATGATGAAGTTGGGGTATATATTGCTGAGCATTCTAATATATGCCCTGTATGTAGCTTTTATAATAAGCAATTAAATTTCTATACAAATACGATTAAATATGTCATGTATTATTAAAATTAATTTTCTTTATGTTCGTTTACATAAATTTTAATTATTTCATATTAAGTTGCTTGTAGCATTACTTGCTAAAATATTAACAAGAACTTTATTTATTCAGGTATTAGCTACAGGACTGAGTGGATTGTATTCATTGTTACCTAGAAAATTAGATATTGAAACAGATGATTGGTACAGATTAACTCCAGATGATGTTAACGATTTACCAGCACTAATGCAGCTTATGAATTCTTTAGAATTTTGTAATGCTGTTGCACAAGTTGCACATCCTTTGGTACAAAAACAGTTACTAGAATTTTTGTATCATGGTTTTTTGGTACCTGTAATGGGACCAGCTTTACTGCAGGTGAGAAGAAAATATACATATCTTTTATTGTAAAATCTTCTAGTTTATAAATAATCTTAGAAATTTCAGAATATATTTTTATACTTTATTAAATTAAGTAGTTACTCATTCTCTTTTTCTTTTGTATGTATATGTGGTGAAAGAAGGTGTTTGAATTTTATTAATTTAAACTAGTGTCAGACTTTAGGAGATTATGATACTTACAAAGCAGTTTTTATGCAAAAGTTTCTGATACCGCTTGTGTTAAATGAAAAGTTCACTTGTATTTTTGTGAAAGGTGTTTAATGTTTCATGTTTCATATTTTGAATTTAATATTCATTGTATTTCGATATAGTTACCTAGGTAGTTTGACTGGTGCTTTGAATTATTTCATCTTCTCATTATTTTCTTCTTTGTTTATTCAGAATATTAAATTTATAGGTATAGTTAACATAGTTAATGGAATATCCGGTGTTTAAACTATTTCTACCTTGTAGATCATTATAAGCATATATTTATTCAATCTCTTAATTAAAGTACATATACGTATGTGTTAATTAAATCTATATAACAATGTCAGTATGCTAACAGTAAACATGCATATTGATTTCTACTGCTAATTACTAATAATAAAAATAATGAGATTCATGTCATTCATGTTATGATATGGTTATTGGTGGCTATCTGGTGACATTTTTATGATGCTCAGGATTCTCTTGGTTTGACCATAGAACAGCTAGATGAACAAGAACACTGGGTTAGTACAAACAAACACTATACTTAGAGCAGCAAGCTTGATCATTGCTTAAAATTTTAGTAAAGCATAATTCTGTATTTAACATTAATTTTATATACATTAATGTTTGTGTTGAACTTGTTAATTTTGATTAGTTTTAATAAAATGTTTGTATGTTACTAAAAATATAAGGATTTCTAAATTATTAGAAATTCTATGATACCTAATTCTACTTTGCTTCTTATTAAAAATAAGTAATTTTATATGTGTTCAACAAATAACAAAAATAATGATAGTACAGACTTAAGCTTTCACTAAAATCCTACATTTAGTTTCAATACATATTTCATGTAGCTTTTATATAACAATTTATAAATCACATGCATATTGTTTTACTTGTATTGTTTAATTTATATTTGTATTATAGTAATTTTGAGCATGTTAAAATTCACGTATTTATGTTTTTAATTATTTTTACTGTTACTAAAGTATGTGATTTATAAGTACAAATACGACTTTGTAAATACTTTTAATATATTTACGTACAGTTGCTATAACTACAAGTCTTTAATTCTTCTATTTTAATTATATACTTTATTATTTATAATAAATATTTTTATAATATTGCTTAAATAAATTATATTGAACATATTTATTCTTATTAATATTGTATTAATTGCTTTAATTTAAAATTTTTTCTTAACCATTAATCACAAAAATTCATTAAAACTGTACTTTTGTGTGATTAATTAATAATAATCTTAGTCATATAAAACTTAAACAAGTATATTTTTAATTAAAAAATACATAACTTTTTATAAATATTTTCTTATTAATTACTATATGTCAATGTTCTTTTATTATTTTTTTTAAATATGTTACATTCAAATATTACACTATATCATAAAAATAATGAGATACCTATTAATATTAGATTTAGTGTATGCTTATTTTTTTATAAATTTATCATATTAATATATTTGCCTGTGAATATTAATATCCTTCTTTTACCACAAAATAAAAATTTAATGCAAAACTTTATTAACTATAAAAAATCCTAAATAATAATTCCAATACTCGTTTTACTAACAATTATTTACTTAGGAATAAAAAGTTTTCATATATTATTTTTAATGACCAGAATATTAATGAAAATAACTAATTTTCTAATATTACAGACAACTGTGGACGAATTAGTTGCAGCAACAGCGTATTTTGATTTATTTCTTCGCTCTGTAACTGAACCTGGCCTTTTGCGTTCACTTGTTAGATTTTTACTTGAGGATAATTATGACGAATGTAGAATATTGGATAGTCTTATTCAGAGGATATCTTCTAGATCACGGGTACACTTTTAATATTTATCATTTTTATACAAAAATGATAACAGCTATTATATGTTATATACAAATTTCTATGTTGTAGTTATGTATAGTGACATTGGGATTGTTCGAAACTTTGGTTAATTTGAATTGCGAAGACATCATGTTAGAATTATGTCTAGGTGCACTGAGTCCTTGTTCCCATGTAATGCTTTCTCAGCGTAGAAGGTTACGGGATATAGATCCATTTGGACGTGCAGCTGAAAAGTTTTTGTCTTTGACGCCAAGTTGTTGTGCACCATTTGCATCTGTAAATTCTCAATTTAATTCTTTACCAAATAACGCAACACATGAAAAACATTCAAATGCTTCATCTGAAATCTTAAAATCATTACCTACATCTATAAATTATGGTGCTAGAGTATCAGACAGTTTGTACGGAAATTATCACGCATATTTGTGTGACGCCCGACAAAAAATAAGAGCTTGCCGAATCGCATGCTCTAATTGGTCGTATCAATATAACGGAGAGTTGCCTAAAGACAGTACTACCAGCAGTGCAACAACTCTGATAGATGATAATACATTGTCAGATCAGTCTCAAAAAAAAATTGAAACCAAAACCATGTCATTAGAAACGTTAAAACATTCAGCTGTTTTCAATGAAATTAGTGAAAATTCCTCAGCAAATAATGTGTTAGTTAATATTCAGTCTTTGTTAGACCACAAAGATTTAAATGTCACAGAAAAAAATGTAAAATCAGAATCTTTGAAAGCAGCGGGAATAGAATTATCGTTAGAGGAACAAGCAAAGTTAGATGCAGATATTGCTGAATTATTAAATGAAGATATTGGAATATTAGAGCCGACTAAGGAAATGTCATTAATAGACAAAAAAGAATTCGATAGCGGTATTGATGATTCAAATACTGCTATGAATTCCCTTTTATCGATAGGCGAAAGCAGTGGCTATGAAAGCTTTGCGTTTAAAGGTTCATCTGAGTCCACACCAGATAATGAACCTAGTGAAGATCGAATAAGCGAACATGAAGAAATAGAGGTTGAATCAAACAAAGAACAAGATATATTTCTTCATAACATTGTGGAGCCGAGTGCAATTACACCGGAAGAATTAACAGCAAACAAACAGACTAAAGAAAACTATCGTCAAGATGTGTTTAATGGACAACCAAATGTTGGTATATTTTTGGATGTTCTTTTACGAAAGCTGGAATGTATGACAAGTAATAATTTATATGTTAATTTACATCTAACTGGTCTCATTAGCAGACTGGCAATATATCCTCAACCATTATTACAGTCATTTCTCCTAAATCATTCCTTAGTGTTTCAACCTAGTATCAGATCACTTTTTCAGGTTTGTAATTGTACTAATGTATTTGCAATAAAAATACAAAGTGAATTGTTTGAAGCCTTATAATAGAGCTTTATTTTACGTAGGTACTTGCATCATTGAAACATAAAATAGACCAGTTTCTATCACAGCATAATAACATAGAAATATTAGTAGAACAAGCTCGCCAATTTTTGATTACTCGCGAAGATAAATTAGTGAATGCAAGAAAAAATGCATTGGAAGCTGCTGCTCATTCTATGCCTGCTAAGAGAAATTCTTTAAGCGGGGAGCCATTTTCAAGAGGTATGATTATTTTAGGATTACTTAAAATATATTCTTAAAATATCTCCCTTTTTACATTAATATTTCCCTAACGTGTTAATATATTTATATAAGTTAATATTACATTATTTTTATCTATTACCATGCCTTCTGGAAGTATTCAAGCGATGTAGGTATAGATATTAAAGATATTATGTATATTATATTTTGAAATTATATTAGATGAATTATGCTTCATAGGCGAAAGCAAAAGATGGAGTTTAACGTCCTCCTTTACACAAATGCTTAGAAGATCAAGCGGTAGTTCAGGTCCAAGTAGTTTAATTAATGTAAATCAGTCACCTAGTTTGTCAGAAAATCAATTGGAAGCTATTGCCCATAGCTCCGGATATCGGTAATTATTATTTTGTTATACTATTTAACATGTAAATTACAACTGTTATTTTAAACTGTTTTGAGATTGAACTGTTTATAATTGAAAAAGATTATACCTTTTCTTTTCACAAAAATTAAAATAATATAATGAAATTCCTAACTCATTAGGTATTATACAAAAACGTCCTGGGAATCCCCAAATGAAGTAAGTCCGGTCCAAAACATGGTCTTATGCGCAGTTGTATTAGATGAATGGCTGAAAGAGCTAGCTGCTATTACACAGGAACATGCCATTATGTCACTTACAAGTAATTTGGAATTTCAAGTTTAGCATGTAAGATAACTGAAATTCACAAATCAATATTTAATAAATATATAATTTTATTCAAAACATTCTTTTTTTATAGGATTGTAATAAACATGTGATATATTATTAGATTTGCATATAATAAGCTATAGAGTTACAGTGTTTATTTGGAGTCATATCTGACAAAATATGAAGGTAATATAGGGTATATTGCTGCAGACACAAAAAATAACAATAATGCTATTTTATTTTATAATTGTAGATATGAAAGATTCAGAAACTAGCCTTAAAGATTGTAGATTTATATGTTTCCGTTGATGTTATCAATTTTAAATATTAATCACGTTACGTTAACACGTGTTAACAAAAGAATATATACAAATATATTTATTTGATAGGCGCTTTTAAAGTACTAATTTATAGTATTTAAATGATATCGGCCGAATCTTGTTGCGAAGACTGACATTTAGAGCAATTTCCTACATAATATGCATACATTATATTATTAACAATTTTATTAAAAAAGTATAGTAATTCTTTATTAAACATTTTTAAAATTGAATCGATTTATTTTAGCTATACTTTAAATATGCACAACAATTCAGTATATCATAAATAACAAGGTATACGTAAATAAAAAAAAGTGCCAACTTATTCCTTTAATATACTACTGTATACTAACATTTTGGAAATTGTTCCAAATGTTTTTTAAAACTTGATTATGAAATAACTTCTATAGTAATTTAACTTGAATAAATGTAGACATCAACCATTTAGGGTTTAAGAAGTTTAGGGAAAGAATATTCAATAACGCCTTGATAACGCAATTGACCGATTGTCTAGTAAGTGAAAACTCCGAGCGTAAATCTCGGTTTTGCAGTCCAATTAGCTAAATAATCTTCACCCTAAACTTATTAAGCAATGATTTCCGTCTAAAAATAAAAATATAAATATCACGCATAGGTACGAAAAGTTTACAACTTCTACATTAAATTGCAGTACATAATACATGATAACTATGTAGCTCATTTTTATTGTACTTAATTTAACAATACATCAGTAAAATTATGTAATTATCAATCAACATACAAGATGCAGTCAAATATTTATAAAAGCTGTACACGATCATAATATATCAGCAATAATTTTTTTTACAAATAGGAGAGTATCAGAAATTTCAAGATCATTTCTAACTTTTTTCTAATGAATGTAACATTTTTTCATATTTTTTCAGATTGTTTAAACAACTGACAGATACATAATATATCAATTAAGGAAAGTGACCTTGAAATTTGTAATGTGTCTTCAACCATGAAAAAATTATTGTTTGTATTTGCAATCTTAAATACTATATGCTTTTAAACATTATAGTTTCTTGTATCTACAACAAAAATAATTTAAATGAATGAAGTTATTACATAGTTGGCAAAGTCTTAGATAAAAATAAGTCGAAAATGCTGAATAATTATTTTCAACAATATTTAATTTTACAAAAATCAGTTTTGTTATTTTACCAATTGTACATATGTAGTTATACTTATATCTATCAAATGGTACTGTTGTTATAATTGTAAATAACATCCATCCATCTGTTATAAATAATAATTTTCCAAAAATAAGAGGTGCATTTTATTAGAAATTAGAAAGTTATCGAAATTGTTCTTTTCACGGAATATCATCATGAAATCATTAAATCTAATTTACAAAACTGTATTATAGCTAAAGTGTATACTAACAATATTTTAAAGCTTAGTGTACATAATTGAACATTTGAAAAATAAATATTTGAAAGATAACGGAAAATGTATGTATCCTTAATTTGATGATATAATTTTAATAAATACATTTTTTGCATTTTGTTTATTCAAGTGAATTATACATAAAAATCAAACATTTTCCTAAAGTATGGGAACTGTTAAAATATTGTAAAATTGTCTTATCGTTTTTTTGAACGCGATGCTTAATATATAAAGTTTGTACTCTGCATATTCGACTTATTTTTACTCAAAGAATCAGACTCTCTGCTTTATAATTACACTGAATATTCTGTTTATATTCAGAAATATGCTGTAAACTTAGTAGCACAAAATATTATATATATAGATATAAAGGTAACAGATCAACTTTTTAATACTTTGACAAAAAATGAAAGTATCAGCTGACTGATATGAATATTATAAGATGAATTTCATGACACTTTCGTTTCGCATTTTAAATTTCATCATTTCAATAATGAATACAATAAGAAAAGTATATTAAAATAATTTTGTCTAAATAGAAGAAGTCAGTACTCTTATTTATTTTTCAGTGTTTAATATTAATAAAACATTACTTCTACTATTTACATTAAAATTTTGTCACAAACTTAACAAAAGTCAATACTTGCCAATATTAAATATTATTATATGACTACAGAATATTTGCCTATTGTACATGTAAATAACATATCAAAGTATAATTATCAGTACATGAAATGTTCCAGCTCAATTTTGTGTTAATAATCACTGGAATCAGTGGTAAATTCAGTGCAATTTTTCATATACTATGCTATTAAAAAGTGAATCAATAACAGTAAAAGTGCGAAGTATATGTCACAAGATATTTTAACCATGTATTGCGTTTATCCTTATGCAACAAAATATTTTTTGATCACTTTAAAATTTCTATTTAATATAAACTACTTGCCACAATGTGATATTAAACTAGGGTCTCACAAAGTTGTCCTTATTATTTAAAATTAAAACAGCTAAGTTTTGTTTCTGTTTTAAATATATTCAATGTACATCATATTTAAATGAAAAATTTTAGAATTTTGTATTGATATAATGATATATGTTTCAAGCGTTTGAACATAGTGCATGAAATAATATCATTACTTCACCTTTATTCAGAAGAATATAAATTTTTAATATTTTAAGGAACACTACTTAACATATTTTATTAGAAACATGCAATATTTTCAAACAAAACTATATGCATAATATTTTATTATAGATCAAAAATTATTTAATATTTATTATTAGTCTAACAATATGTTTGTTTTACTTTACCGTTATGTTTAACTTTGTTGATAAATTAAAAATTATATTATTATATATTATATAATTTTTAGGTACTTCTTATTATTATCACAATTGTATTATATAAAATTTTGTATATATATATAAATTAAAGTACAATGATATTAATCATATGTACATCAAAAATGTAATATAAAATAGAATGTATATTATTATGTTATATAGAAGATGTTTTAATAAAATCAGTCCATAAAAAATATAATTTTTCCAGTTCCTATTCAAAACGAATTGTAAATTAAATTTTGTTATATCCTCAAGTTTTATATTTTTTTTTTTAACAATTAAATTGTATAGTTACTTGAACCAATAGCTAATGTAAAAATCATAGTAGGGCAACAAAAATATAATTAGATCTTTAAAAAATGGGGTATATATTATTAAGTAAGTTGATACAGAAATATATTTTCATTATAATTATTTTTTATATGTCTTTTTATGACCACAGGAATTTCGTATTAATGTGTATATATAATTATAACTATATAATTATTTAAATATAAATATTTAAATAAAGAGTATTTGTTTATCTTTTTTAATATATTTAATATATTTTATTATTTTTGTAATTCTAACATTTTCAGAATTCTACAATTTGTAGTATACTTTTAGAACTGAAAGTTTAAAATAAACTCTAACGGGATTCAAATGAAATTTTAAATACAATGATAATACTGAATCAGTGCCTATTATACTCATAACATAAATAAAAAAATTAATTACTTATATATGATAAAAAGTTTAATAAAAAATGAAAAAAGTTTCTACATTATTCAATTACTAAGTGTAATGGTAAAATTAATTAAATTTTCCACGTTATAATCTCTTAACAAAGAATTATTTTGTGTAACTATTATTATAAATATAAATCGTGAAACAAGCAAAAAAAATTTGAATTCATTCGATGGAAGAAGTCCAATCACCGTGCAGCTTCAATGAGCTGCAGTTTATGAAAATTGCAGTACTAGAAAAAAGGGACTAGTCTTAACCAAGAGTCACTAGGTTGTCAATTGTTGAAGTCTTTACTGTATTTATAATTAATTTTTGTGCTAACATTTGGTGTATGCGATAGAATTAATCGACTGTATGTGTAAAAATATACGTTAAACATCAAATTTGGTATTTGCGATATTGTGTAACACTGCTTTGACATAAGCATTGTAACCGTGATTAATCGACGTGATCTCATACTTTCAAGTATGTTAATTGTTATCAATATATACAATTTTATTCTTAACATTTTTTATATCAGTATTAAGGTATTAATTAATGCCACACCTAGAATAATTATAAAAAACACTTTGATCATTCATATTACATTAAGTGTATATTTATTAATATTATTTGTCTTAAAACATTTATTAATTATATATTATGATTATATCCATGTGATATTTTCTTGTATTTGATGGTGCTTCATATAATTTTATAATTATTTTTATATATTTTATAGCATTAAAAGTATAACACATTTACTCTTTCATTCAAATTAAATTAAAATACCTTGAACATTGCAATTAATGACACACGTTAATAAAATAATTCTAATATTAATTAATAGGATATTTGATATAATTGTCATTGTCAACAGGGTCATATGTAGTAAACTTTGATATAAGAAGTATTCATGCCTTTTTGTTTGGGAAATTATTCAACCCGTAATATGGAGGAATATGCTGTAGTATCAGACATATCAGTTGTAGATGTTTATGATATCGCCTCAGAAATAGGAAAAGAATGCGAAAAACTAATAGACTCATTTGGAGTAGAATCTGTAACTAATCTTATGCCAAAAGTGATACATGCATTAGAACTATTAGAAAATCTAGCAACTAAAAATGAACGTGAAAATACAACAGTTCAGGAATTACGAGCAAAAATTTCGCAATTGGAAAATGATAAAATTGGGAAGGCTGAAGATAGACAACGATTTGAAAAGGTATAATAAATAAAAATTATATTGAAACGTATCTGTAGATTATACATTTTTGATGTTTCTCTTAGTTAATAATATTTAATCGATACACAGGAACTGGAACAAATTGAAGAACATTGGCGTCAAGAATCTCATGATTTAGTGGGTATGGTTACAAGATTACAAGAAGAAAATAGAAGATTGGCAGAAGCTCTGCAAGAATCGCGTAGTGACAGTCAGTACAGCAGTAAACAAAGTACTAACACCCTCTTTTTTACCTACTAACACAATGTTAAAAATATTATAATATATGTATATACATTGTTAATTACCATAATATATTTTTAGCTTTTACGGCTAGTCAAGAAGTTGATGTAGCAGTATTACAACATCTAAGATCTATGATAGACAAACAGAGAGATCAAATTCGAGCAAGAGACAAAGAGCTACTGCAAAAAAATATGGAGATAGAAAATGTAAATTGGTACCTATGTTCATATGTAATTTGCGTAAATATAAACTGTAACTCAGTATTGCCCATATAACATGACTTTATATTCAACAGATTATTACTAGTTATTTTTTTTTTTTTTTAATATTTATTTTATAACATATGATTAATAATATTATACATTCTATTCTAATTCCTTTTTATATTTACACAGCTGACGACGCAAGTTGAAAAACTTGGAGTCGTTGGCAGAGAATTAAAGCGAAAACAACGACAAGCGCAAATGCAAGCACGAGGCTTGGTAGAAGAAAGAGCAGATTTTTTGGCGCAATTGCAAGATCAAAATCGTGAATTAATTAATCTTCGGGCTCGTCTTGGTTTGGCGAGAAAGGAAAATGAAGATTTAAGTAAATTACAGGGGCACCCAGACTTAACAAATAAAGCAGTTTACGATTTAGACGATCCTGATAGACCAAGATTTACTACTGCAGAATTGAAAGAAATTTTACATGAGCGAAATGAACTGAAAGCCAGGGTTTCAGATTTAGAAGATGAACTAGAGTTATATCGACCAAAACCTGAAACGTATGTGTTCTTTATGTACAGTCATATATTTAATTATTAAAAAATTCTTTTGAAATATCATTTTATACGAAAAGATTAAATTTCGTATCTTGTTTCATTATAGGGTGGAAGATTATAAAGACGCTCCTGTTCAAGGTCCTCTTCCTTATGAACCAGATGATGCTCCTTGGAAAAAGACATCTGAATCTGGAATTCGTAAATTGTAAGTAATGTAAGTAAAAAATATTGCAGGATTCAAACTTTAATAATAATATTTAATTTCCAGTTTCCGGAAAATTTTCTCTGAGTCTAGCAGTAGTTTTTTAGTTGGTAGTAGTCCACGTAGAAGTCTTTCTAGTCTATCAAAAATGGCCCTGTCTGGAACTAGTACATGCGATGAGTCTGTATAATGATTTTTTAACAAACAACCAAATGACTTTCACAATCTTATAGAAGTAACTTGGATATAATATTCTTATATTTATTCGTACCATTCTACTTCTTGGTAATGATTAATAAGTTATTTTGAAATAATTCTTTATTATGAAGAAGTTATTAATTATAATTAATATGTAGACATTTTGACAAAGATGAAATATTCACATGTGTACAAAATTGATATATATCTACAAGAGTTTAAAAGGAACTAAATACATACACATTTTTTTATTTATGAATTTGTATTGACGTGCCTGAAAATTTAAAAATATTGATAATAATATATGTAGTAATATCTCTTTACTTTCATAAAATTATTGCATGACTGATATGCATTAACATAAATTATACTGTAAAAAATGACATTAAAAGGTAGTTGTAAAACTACCTTAGTTCTCAAGTATAGTGTTATTTCATTTAATTATGCATTTTTAATAACAAATACTTAGACATTTATAGATACACGGGCATTTATTTTATGCTACAATTTGAACTTATTCAGTTTGTTCTTGCATTTATCTTGTAATAACTAAAGGCGACTTTTAGAATGTATTGATAAATATTGTATTGAATTTAGCTAATCAGTGTTAAATAGGAAAACACAAGAAAGATAATTATTGCCTTATAAAACATTTATATTTTAATATCTTTATTTTTATGCTGAGGACTTAAATTGTGTTTCAATATATTTTGGAATAGATTGTATATAAACTGTTTTTTAATTAAAACCTAAATATATTTAAATGATAAATGTTTTCTTTAACTTTCTATATGAGTTTCAATGTTATCAAATATGTTTACTTGTATTATTATAAAGACTAAGTAACTTTCAGTAGATTGTTTTGTTATTTTTATATTATTGTGGTCCTTTGAGCTGGATTTAAATAAATACTAATTTGATATAATTTATCATAAAAATCTGGTAATAAACAGTATGATTTTATCATTGAATTTGTCAAATCTAATGAAGCTGATAATAACCAAAAGTACACATAGTATTGTAGCACTTAAGATAGTTTAGTTTAGTTTGTCTAAAAGGATTTATAATCTTCATGAAATTTAAAGGGCTTCCTACACCAAAAATAATGAAGCTATTTATCAATAGTACGTTAGCTACATATACTACAAAACAATGGTAAATTTAATACTAATTAACATGTAACTATACAGCTATTAATGAAGCAAGAATTTAGGAAGATATTTCAGTGTATTCTATTACAGAGAAGCGTGATTATAATTTGAACATTAATGTTTCGTCAAACCTCTTGATACCAAATCTTTCTGGATTCATATCAAATGCATTTGTAGCTAACGTAGATTTCAAATGTTTATATCTGACTTAAAGGACCAAAATTATTTTAAATGAACAAATCAATTTAATCTGAAGATTTACAAACGTTCAATCCAGAAAAAATTGTATTATGTTTCAATGATTTTATTTTTATACTTTGTGCCATTGAATGACATTGTGAAAAGTAAATATGAAAATTGTATTTATATGAACTGTATATAACGTATAAAAATCATGAATGTAGATGTATAGAACATAATATATTGAAGATAATTGAATAGAATATTAATATACCAATATATACAAAACAATAAATGATAATACTAGTGTTACTTGTGAAAATTGCTTATTCTTGAAAAAAAAATCGTTCAATTTAAACCACATTATTAGTAGTAATTTATTATATTATTTCACGAACTAAAATTATAAGAAGATCAAAGTAGTATTATTATAAATATTAACATTTCATGGTCACAGTGGAAAATTACTATACTGACATACTATAAAAATAATTTTCATATAACAACGTAAGTATTAGTTAACTATAAAACAAAAGTCGGGATAATTGTAAAAATTTATTAAGACCTTATAATATTTGACAAAACCTTTTCGAATGTTGCAATTACAGTATTGGACTAAAAAAGAATATTCAAGAAATATGTAAAAAAATTATATAAAATTAATATTTGGAGCATATAAAACAAAATTTAATAATTAATATAAAGAGAAACATGTGTTATAATTTTGGTTACATGAAATTATACAAACCATATTAGTACATTATATTTTAAGACAAGAAACAGTTCATGATTATTTTATAACACAGTTTCTGTTTACTTACATCTTGTTAAAATTATAATTCTGATCGTATTAAAATGTGCCTAGTAAATAAATTTATTCGTCTTATATTGAATTAATGAATTTTTTAAGAAAATTAATGAAAAAAAATATCAACTTTGCCTAAGATATGTCACAATTATACATTATCAATGAAATTTAAACACATGTGAAGTATTTAGCAACTGGTAGATTTAGAGTTTTTATATAATTTAAAAATATAATGATCCCTAAAATACAAGAAAGACTAAATCAAATACAGTTTTTGCATTTCATATACTGAACACATTACTGTTTATAGTATAAGTGATTTATAATATCAAATGCATTTATATAGAAACATTTATCATGTAACATACTATTAAACAAATTATAGCTTAATTTAGGCATATGTGCTATATTAAAAGCACGGATATAAAATCTACAATTTAGAGTACGTAATGAACATTAATGTTTGTATTTTTTACTGAAATATGATATAATTACCATAAAATAAAAAGAAACCATTTTTAATTACCTTAAAAATATATACAATGTTATATTTCTGACAGACAGCAGAGGTTAAGCTTTAAAGAGGTATAATTGAATATTTGTATTATTAATTCTGTTTCTACATTGTTGAATATTATTAGTAAAGTATCATATAAAACATAGAATTAAAAGATAGTAATATCACAAAAAATTATATACCAGTGCCAAAGAAAGTGAAAAACAGTTATATAATATAAAACAATTAGTTTATGTATAATTAAACAATTTATGTATATCCTATTAAGTCTATTAGTAATTTTATTAGAACAATTGTAATACTTTTTCGATACATTATAATTGTTGATAATATACAAGTTTGATGCCTTAATATTTATGGAACTGAAATATATTTCATTGTAATTAATTGTTTGGAAATAAACGATTATGTTCTATAAAGATGTTTAATAATTATTAAAATATGCTATTAATCTTCTGTTATACTTAAGAATAATCCTTTTCATTGCGAAAAACATATACATATATATTCTAAAAGGTAGCCTCTTATCTGCAAGTGTCATATTACAACAGGGTATAACGCAATATGTAATTCAAGAATGAATTCATTTCTTCTTTTAACGTGAAATAGGTCTTACATTATTGCGTTATACATATTTTATACATGTCGTCAGCAACTAATTGTTAATCGCAGCAAATATATGTATACAATCACCAAATCAGATATTGAATTAAAATAGGACGCAGATTTTTTCTGAAAACATCAAACTATATAATTGTTTATTCACTTTTAACAAATACATCCGTCATCCTCGATATGACAAATTTTAGTAGAAACCTGTCACAACAGAAGAATTAGGAAAAAACGATATGTGGAAAACTAAGACAATTGAGGTAGTATTCTGTGACATTTCGGTTATGTTCAGACAAACTTCAATTTTTCAATTTACACCTCAAAAATCAATTTTCATTTATTCTTCATCAACATCCCATTACATCATTAATTAATAATTATACAATATTAATTTTAGGACGCAAAAATAAAAATGTCAAAATATTAAACACCTAATGGTATAAGAATCAGCATCAGTAAAATTGTCATGCTTACTTTTAAAATCAGATATGAAATAAATGGAGAATACCGTTTTCTTTTAAACTTTGAAAAATAAATTAATATTCATAGGTTATATACAGCCGACTAGTATGTTATAAATCTACGTTGTTCAAATTAGCTGCAGATCCAGTTGGTAAATCTGGCGGTACAAACTTACCAATAGGTTGTATTGCCTGTCTTTGTTCAGCTAGTTTGCGCATTTCTTGTCTAAGTTTACTTAAAATAGCATGATTTGGCTGATTTACTGCAGCTTTACCTTGTAACAACGTAATTTCTTGTTCTAATTGTTTTTTCTCTTTAAAAGACTTAACGCTTCGAGATCCATATAATCTTAACAAGGAGCCCCAAGATTGAATATGAGGATGCATAAGTTGTAAAATAGCTTGTGCTGCTCTTTGTTTGCCATCTTTTTTGTTACGGCATACCTAAAATTGCAATATTTTCAGATGTCTTCCATACTAACAATTATATTATGAAATAAATAATAGAAACTCTTTGCATCTAATAAATAATTAATCAAAATAAAATCATTGTTATTATTTTTATAAAAAAAGTAATATTACAATTTTACTTACAACAGTAGCCTCATGTTTTCCAACGCGCATTGTGAATTCATTACGTTGATGCTTCAATGTATTTACTGAATAATTAATATGCATGTCACCGAGACCATAATTTCGTTGAAGACAAGTAATTAAAATAGCATGTGGCGATGGTTCGGTTGTTTTTGCACAGAATTCTGCGACTCGAGGATCGGTGATAGATATTTCATCGAAAAACGATAAATCTGCATCAGAATTTGCTCTGGACGCTTTGATCATACGACTGTTATTACCCGAAGCTGTATCACCGCCATTATCGCCAGAAATTTTATCTCTCATTTGGGGAATCAATATTTCTAGGGTTTTTCGAGCAGCATTTGCTTTCGCTTGTTTTTTACTGCTACCAAAACCGCTTCCATATTCCATATCATTAATACAAACAACAGCAGAATATGGTGTTGCAGCATTTTCTGAAATTAATTTATTGATTTGTTTAACTTATTTGTTAATTTTTTCTTTTTATTTTAATTGTAAAAGTATTTTTTACTCAATTTACCTAATTCTTTAAACTTATAAGTCGGTTGTTTTTTAAGTGCATGTTGTACATATTCATGAAGTATGCAAACATAACTTTTGCCTGAAGGATTCATTATCCAATGCTTCGGAGGTCTCTGTCCACTGCTATCATCTCCAGTTGCATTACCACTACTTCCTGCTAAATTAGAACTACTAACCGGAAATGTTATTAATTTAGTTCCATCAGGTAAAGTTGGTCTTTCAAGTTGTTTACGATGTTTTTTATTTTTCGTAAATTTTCTCCTTGCTGACCACGATCTATATATCAAATTACATTAATTGTATGTCACAAATACACTAACCAACTTGTTACATTACAAAAAACTTAGCATACATTTGATGTTATTTAATATGTACTTACTGAAACCTCATTACTTTAATAGCTTTAAAACGGAAAAGCGATTGGCAATAGTTTCTTAATTGTTCACTATCTAATGAATGAGCTGCTCGATTTTCTTGAATTGTTTCTATTTTTGCACTAGGAAGACTACAAACTTCTGTATTTGGATCACGTTCCTTCTGCTTTTTCCTTTCCTCCTCTTCTTCATGAAGAGCTCTCTTATATTGAAGGCAAGGTATTGCACTAACAGGCACTTCATGTTTTCTTACGCTCCCAGGTCCAAGGAAGTATGGTTTTGCAAGAGTACAAACTCTACTTTGTTTATGTAAATACAAAGGCATTCCACTGTTATGTGTGACTTGAACCCAACCTTCTGGGAGTACATCAAAATGATTATGACCAATTTCTACAAAAGAAATCACAAATTTGACATCTCTTGTTGGTTTTTTAATAATGTAGTGAACACTAAATTTCTTTGTATAATATATTAAAAAATGCTTTTATGTACTAACATGTGTTTCATATGATACTAACATTTTTTTATATAACACTTACCATCCAAGACCAATTTTTCTTTTTCTTCATATGGTACACTATCCTTTTTGTCTTTTCTTTTGCCTTTAAATTCTTCTGGTAAACCTAATAGTAGCATACAATACTTAACTAAAAAAAGTACTCAGCAGCTGCATGATCTATATGAGAAGTACAAAAAGAGAAAAACAAGTAATCTTATGTCCTTTTACATCATTTAACCCTTTGTGTGCAAATTTCATATCGATTTATTTCAAACCTTAAATGCATATTTATAAATTTACATTAACACCTTGCCTCATCAATTAACCCTAATCATTCCAAAGTAATTTTAAAACATGTTGATTTTTTTTAAATTCTTGTCTAAGAATACACAGACTAATAAGTAAATTTAAAAAATTAGAATCAACCTGAGTTAAATACAATCTTACTTACTTTCTTTGACTTGAGTCAGTACATCTATTTAAGGCAAGGGGTTAATTCAACTGTACTTTTTAAACATATTCTACACCCTACATAAAGGCATAAATAACTTCATCATAATAGCTGAACCATTTTGTAATATTAAAATCTACCTTCTTCAAGCATGGCTTCAATTTCTTCATCTGGTACATCAGAATCCATACTTTCATTTGTATCTGAATCCATATCAGAACAATTTTGATCTGGATGACGTTCTAAGTCATCCAAAACATCAAACTGTCTTAAATCATCTGTAGCTGCTATACTATCTGCATTAGATTCCGTGACACAATCTTCAGTGGTAGAACCATTATATACATTTGTATCATCTGCAGATACAATTTCTTCTTCCATCGTATCACTACAATGACTTCTATTAGATGGTTTATTATGGCTATCTATAGTTACTTCCAACATGCTCTGTTGATCAAGTAAAACTGTTGCATCTTGAGATGTCATGCTTGATTCAGGCATTTCTTCAGGAACTTCTTTATCCATGTCCACTATATGTACAACAAGGTATCTGCTAAAATACTGTATGATCTGACAATCAACATATAATATTTAGATTATAATGAATATTTTAACTTATTCTATAATTGTTATATTTGACAAAATATTTAATGCATTCATGTACAACAGCGGACAATTAATTTTTTAATATTGTTATGATGGAAATTATTGTTTAAACTTGAACACAATCTTCATATGTAATAACTCATGGATTAAATAATATCAAGCGCGTTGTATGGCCACACCACTTTCACCAATGAGGCCAAAGTCCAATCAATTTGAAACCACTTTGAAAATGGCAACGAAAATTGGACATTTGCATTAGTGTTAGCAGTTTGGGGCCTATTATATATCCATGAGTATATATTGCATAATATATTATATTGTCAGAATATTGTAGAAGATAGTTGACACAGTTCGCTGTACTGTTTAGCTGATTGGCTCCGAAATTAGACAGGAACAACATTGAAAAATTGAACCTGTTACTAGTTCGGATTATGGCCTGATGATAATAAAAATAAATTTATTACATTAATGTATAAATTATTTTTGATATCAAGAAACATAGATTCTATGAAGGTTTGATATTTTTTAATCAATGTGTATTAGTAAAATGAAAAGCAAGATATAAGAATGTTAACACATTCACTATCAATGGTTAAAAAAATATTGTTTTACATAGTTCAACTACTAAATTTTCATAATTTTATCTAATGTTGTATAATATTAACATTGCTAAAATATATCACCCAATATCATAGATATATGATGCTATACCTTGTATAACTTTTACAGCATCACATATACATGATACTTGATAGCGAATGTGTTAAGTATAAACTTACAAAATACAAAATGTTACAAGAACTTAAAAATTGATATCAATAAATATTTTGATATACATTGAAATAATTACTTAAGTTTTGCTTATTTTATTCTACATTATTTAATAAACTTTTCTGAATTTTTTTTCTATCTTTATAATTTATGTTATGAAACATAGACATATTTCACATTATTTCCGAGAAAATAATCATATTAAAAACATCGTAATTTTAGAATAAAGTATATAAAACTGTTTTTTTTTAAACGTGAAAAAGTGTATGATTTTTATATTGAGTATACGACATACATCAATATTATCATCCACTATTAATAATTTAATCAATTCCATAATAATACCTTTATATATACCACAATACTGTATATTTTTGATAATTATAAACACTAATAATAAATTTCCAACTATTAGAAGTGTTGGGTTAGGTGTGAGTTATCTTTAAACGTTTTCTATCTACTAAAGTTCTTGATAATCATAATCATAAAAGATTAAACAAATTTTTATATTAGATATCTTAGGAACACATATTCACAAATACTATTTAGTTATGCAAAAATAGTTAAATTCATCACAACTTCATATGAATTTCACGCAACACAATAAAATGGAAACTTCCATGGTGGTCGATATAAAGCAAACCATACATCTCGACATATAAATGAGGAGGGCGCAATATAATCGAAACTAACATGAGAGGAGAGTAGCGCGTGTTTTATATTTTGAATTATTAAATATCATTAAATGATTATTTTTTCTCACACATACACACTATTCAAGAAAATTTGGAATTATTGTCTTCAAATTTTAATAGAAATTTTTATAAGTATTTCCAAATTTTTAATTTTCACATTAAACATTTTTATTCTTTTAAATTCAATTACATAGAAATTACAAATTTAGAAATTTCAACATTTCAAATATAGTATATTAACCACACAAACTTTCAAATGTTGAAATTTTTAATAAAATATTTATTATACTCTTACAGTACATATTTTTTTATCCAGCTTTCAATTGATGTTATAATACAACAAAATTTTATAGTAATTATGATAAAAATGAAATTACTATATTTATTTATGAATTGTTTACTTTCTTCATTCTTCTTATACATACAGACACATTTAAGATCAGCTTAAAAATAACAAATATAATTACATAAATTTTACACAGGTACTATTTTGTTTATATATCACGGTACATTATATATTTATATAGAAATTCTCTAGAAGTACTAAATAAGTCATAATTACTAGTTTTTGGTTTCGTAAACATGTTTATTATAGAAATTTAACGTATTGGAATTGAAATTGTTTGCACTTAGATAATAACATTCGTAACTTTGCAAAGATATATGTGTATAAATTACATACATAATTATTAACATTTTTGTTGCATATGTTGCGTACGTCAATTAAATCATTGTTTGTTGGATAAATATTTACACGATATTTAAGCATTCTGTATTACAAAAGAACACCGACAAACATGTATGTAAATTTTTCGTTATGTTTCCAACAAACATTTTTAACCTTTGCTACTTATGTATACTATATATTGTAACACATGTAGATCGATGGTATACTGTTATTTATCTATTTTGTGCACATAAGAAAGATACTAATTCAAAATGAACTAACGTCTTAATAAAATATTTCATTACGTAGTTTACTAGAATAATGGTACTGAACATTGCCAGTTTCATTTATTATTATAAAACGGAAATCTAACAAATGTAATAATAAATAACAATGATACATAATATATATTTACACATGCGTATATACATATGTATGTATATTCAAAGTTACCAAGAAATTACATTATTTCTAAACGCCCATACAGAACGCTTTTATAAAATATTCTAATATTCAATAACAAAGTTGAATTATTTTCGTTAATTGGCTAACATCATTGAGGTAGTTATATGAAAATAAATATAGTATCACCTTTTTATTTGATTTTTATCTTATGCAACTTGAGCTTAAATCCAAGTAATTCTGAAAGCACCCCTGAAAGAGCAGATAATAATACTACTTTTGTAATTGTGTATAAATAGGGGTTAGCGGATAAACCAGATATTTTAAATGGACATTCAAGTTCCTGCAACAATTAATAACATGGATTATTTAATTTAGCAAAGTGTGTTGTAAAAGAATCATCATTTTGTACTACCTTGATCAAATCCGCTGCTAATTTGAGTACATTATTTGCTACCATAAGCTCTTCTTTTTTATGTGGTTTTTGTTCGATTTGTAAATATAAATTAATCTAAAAATATACAAATATTGAATGTTGAAAATAAAAATATGAATTATTTATTATGTTTTATAGATGTAATATTCGATTCATTTTTATTACCTGTTCTGTTATCAAGACAGAAAGATTTCTATATTTTTTATTAATTTTCGTACCCAATGTCATAAAACGTAGTATAAATATTCCAAGAGAAAAACTCCAAAAGAGTGCTTCGACATTATATCGGGAATGCAAACTTTCAAGATCCTATATGGAGTATTTTTAATTACAATATCAATTTATCCGATTATAATATTATTTCATATTTCTTTTTTACCTTAATTAATTCCAAGCTCACGAATGATAATAATAATAAGGTAACAATAAATACTGCTGATACTATTACATCCACGGAACGTTGCGGTCCTCTTCTCTGCACAACAAATAATACATAAAATAGTTTTAATAGAACAAACATGTTAAATACGTGTAACATTTTAATTTACCTTTAAATAAGATCTGACACTTAACCACAATTTTATATTGCGTACTTTATTTAACCGAAAATGCGGCAAATCAGATTTTCTTGCACGTCTTGATGATGTTAGATGCGAAAACAATTTAGCGTATAAGAGCCTTTGTTTATAAGTACGTTCAGCAACCGCTAATAAAAAAAATAATAAAGATGACAATATAAGTCTTTCAAATGCTGATATAAGCACTACTATGCGTTCCCTGAAATCAATTGTTTCTTATTAATATATTAAGTAAACTAATATTTATAACTCACATCATTATTTTTACTTTGTATTTACCAAAGAGTTGTTCCAAATGCCAAATCTATAACTTTACATAAAATATCGCTATATGTTTCCAAATTGACGTAAGTTAAATCATTTGGTATTAAGGAACTAGTTACATTGCTACTGTTATCCATTCCAACATGGTCACTTAATCGTTTAATAGATGGTATTAATGATAATACTACACTAAGCAATAGGCCTCCATAAAAGTAATTCATACTTTCAGGCATTGATTCTACTCTAGCAATAATAGCTGAACTGATGTCCAGTACCGATAGTTCAGCCTTTTTTATATCACGACGGGTCCATATAGTACATGAAACTGTAATGTTACGTACATTTCATCATTACATTCTTTTAATTCTTTATTGTTATAGATTCTACTTATTTTTTAAACAAATATAATAATGTAATCCCAAGTTTTCATAACTGAGAATTACAATTCTGATTAATTATTTCAATATACATTACCTCGATCATATGATGCACAATTCGAACTAAGCATTATAGAGGGTGGCAATTCAAATTCCCAAGAAAATGGATGTTCCGCAAGTTCTCCGTAATTTTTATTAGTCTCGCTATGTAAATCGGATTCTTCAAGTTCCGAACTAAAAAAATTTGTTATTTTTATATAATTTAGTTTAGTGTAATTATATAATTTACACGAAACATATAACAAAAGTTTTAAATGACAAAAAATTAATTTTATAATATTAAGTACCTGTAACTACACTCATCACTATTTGTAGTTACTCCCATCCATTCAGTAGCAGATGTAGTGGCTTCTGTTAAATGATTTGTAACTGTCTCCTCACATTCTCCTTCTTCTTCACTTTCACATTGTTGACGTCCTTCTCTTGATGCTATTCCCATGAGACAGTGATCTTTATCCTTTAAAAACAATTAACAATTATGGTGCTATTTTACATTGATCAAAACAAGGAAAAATAATTAGATGTAGTTAATAAATATAAACTATTTTATTATATTAACTATATTAAAACTACACTTACTACTTTATTTGGAGCTTCTGCTTCACTATTTGAAGAATTATTTTCTGTCTTTAATAAATCAGGTGCTGCGTGGAAAGTGGAAGACAATCATTTTAGCTAATAGGCCATTTTACCTTTCCAACAAAGATTAAAGCGTGTTAGCAGTTCAAAACAGATAATAAATTTCTAATATGTAATAAAATAAACATTATACTCCTATTAAAAAACTGAAATGAAGATATAAATAAAGTGATCTTACATAATAATAAACTTAATTAATTCACATACTAAAATAAAAACGTATCATTTTAAATGAACCTAAATATACATCATGTATTACATTTTAAGTTTATTATGCAAAGTTATAAACATAATCTTGTGTAAAACTTGTTACAAATCAAACCTGAAAATTTAGGTTGTAGTAAAGCTGATTGATTGGTAGAATCTTCTGGCCAAAGAATATGGTCTTCATTAGTTTTCAGTAATCCATCCCTTTTTTGTTTAAATTTTTCGACTGTAGTTCGTGCAGCACTTTTATCATTATCACTGGATACATTCCCGTTTAAACTTTCAAATCCATCATCATCTTGATGTACATTTTTCATGTTTTGATCTGGAACATTATCTATAACAAAAAACGTATATTTTGCACTTAATCAAAAACATTTAATAAAAATAATAATAGTTATTATAATACTAGCAAAATATATTAACTTGATTCAGTATGACTAGCTGAAGCTTCATTCATAGGAAGAGAATTGTTCACAGCAGCATTGATTGGCTCATTATCACAGGATATTTGAGCGGTCACGATTTCCTATATAAAAAATATTCTTATAAAAATATCCTTTAAAAATTGTATCCAGTCAACTACAAAGGTATTAATATATCTTTTAAAATAAAATAACTTTTTTCAAAATGAAACTAAATAACTTGACTTTTTTTAAAAAGATAGAAATTAATTACATTAAATGACGTATTTTTTTTGCATATATTAAAAAAATAGCAACTGAAAAATATCTTTGGTACATTTAATTACGCTATAGATTTTAAGCTATAAATTAAGCATTTAATTATGCAGTCATTTAATAAACTGATCTTTCTAGTTTATTAAACAAATTCAAACCATTGGATGCAATTTTAAAAAAGTTATTCTGTTTCAAAAGGAGCATAAATACTTCTGTGATCCACTATATATGTATTATTAAAATAATGAATTGTTATTACCTGTGACCGACTAACAGTTAATGAATTTTCAATTACAACCTTTTTAGCAAATCGTACAGATGTTAATACTTCACCACTTACTGTACTAGCTTTCTCAGAAGCTGTGTCTTGAGATGATTTAGAATCTTCATGTAAACCTATACATTACATAATGATTATAAGTTAACATGTGTATAGTAATTGGAACAAGTTCTATAATAAATATTAATTATGAATTACGTAGGTTTTGTCTTGTCCTTGATTTTCCCATTCGACATCTAGTGTGTCGTGAACGTCTAACTATTCTCTGTTTACTTTGTCCATCAACTATTGCTGGACCTGAATGAGTTGACACAATATGGGAATGAACAATACATAGTATCAACATCATAATAGCAGGTATTAATACCTCTGATATTGATACAATCTGTAAATAAGTAACTTAATTATCAAATGTTTATATACAATTATGATTCTAATATAATAAGATCATACATCACTTTCACTGTCCTTAGCAATGTGACAAAAATATATGCACATATTGATCATCTGCAAACTATATAATAATAAAAATAAAATAAAAATTTTTGAACTAGTTTGTTGTATCCACCATTTTTTATATAAAGGAAGAAATAATAGGCGTTGAAGTGCCAAGCAAGCTACCGTTGTTAATCCATGCTTTGGCTTAGCTTTAGGAAAAGAAGAACCTGTATGCATTAATATACTGATTATAAGAGAAAATATTAAACATTATCAAATCAATATAAACTATAATAATTTTATTTAATTTACCTCGCACAAGGTCTACATCAATAAATTCTGTTTTTAATTTTGCAGTTCTCATTGGAACATGTGTAAATCCTCCAAGAATATGTTGTTCTACAGTTTTTTCCCATTGTTGTTTATCATAAGTACCAATTTTCTTTTGATACCTAAGATATCAAAATCATTCATTATGTTTATGCTCGTTTGAGTAATTTCCACTAAAATAAAATGCTTACTTTGATAAATCAAAATAAACATAAAATATATCTCTTACCAATAAACGAGCTCATTCAATTTCATTTTTGTCGATCACTATCGTAGTCGTACAGAATGGCTATGAATTTTTAGTTTCAACCAATAATCAACAATATTTAAACGAACGGAAGATAATTTTCCGTATACTTTTGTTAATGAATTTAAGAAAAATGTTGCTCCCATAATATACGACAAACGTTATCTGTCAATATTTTTATTCGAGGTATTCCACCAGATGAAAAATATAAAGTACGAACGATGTTCGTACCGCATCCAAATAATTTTTACGCCATTGCCTAGAAACAAAGTATGCAATTCCTAGTAATGATTACGACAGTGAAGTTTTAGATTTGTACATTTGATTAAAATTAATTCATGTATTTGTTAATGACATTTAGAGCTGTTTCCATACATTGAATATTTTTTTAATTCAATTTATTCGTTATTAAAGTTATTGTACCATTGATATTAATGTTTTTTAACAAAATTGCAAGAAACCAATCCTATAATAATACACACGGAATAATATTGAACTATATTTTTCACTGGTTGTTTTTTTGTTAAAACATGTGCATACCTATAAATGGGACTTCTTTAATTAATTTGAATGTGTATTTATTATTCTAGGTACATATGAAGAATTAGATATTTCTAATTTTATATGAATTTTTCATTTGACATTCTTATTTTTCTTTTTCTTTATTATTATTATAATAACTATATAATTTAACAATGTAAAAACAATTTTTGCTATACAGAATTTAAATATTTTTTTCTGTTTAAAAAAATATATTTATTCAACGTATATTTGTTAAAACTGAATTTAAAATTATTATAATTTTCAATATTCGTGTTATAATTACATGCATTCGCATACATTTTTTTAATAAATATTAAACTTAAAATATATACATATAAATATTCGTTAGAAGGATAAAACATTTGTTACAAGAGTATGTTCCGAAACACGTCAGTCAACAAATGAATTACGTATTTAAATGATATATCTATATCACACAAACGCCGGCTTTTAGGTTAAAATATTATTATTTATTTATTATATAGTGATGTTACGTTTAAAACAAATCATTTTACATTGCATATGCATTTATAATACACTTATTAATTTTGAATGAACAGAAGAAGATATTTAAATAGAAATGTTAATTTTCAATGTATGGTTAACTTTCGGCCTTATATCTTTTGTAAATGGGTTACGTGAGTACGAAAAGAAAGATTTAATTGCTCTGAGAGAAGAAGTGCGATCTATGTTTGATCATGCATATTCAAGCTATTTAACATATGCTTATCCTTATGACGAATTGCGATCGTTAAGTTGCGATGGATTCGATACATGGGGTAGTTTCTCATTAACGCTCATTGACGCTTTGGATACTCTCGCTGTAATGGGCAACTTTTCTGAATTTCGACGTGTAGCAGAAATTATAAGCGCCAGAGCAAGCTTTGAGGCAAACATTAATGTATCTGTATTTGAAACTAATATACGAGTAGTTGGAGGATTACTTAGTGCTCATCTTCTATCACGTAAAGCAGGCGTTAATCTAGAACCAGGATGGCCTTGTAATGGTCCATTACTACGCCTTGCAGAAGATATGGCAAAACGTTTGATTGCAGCTTTTGATACTCCAACAGGGATGCCATATGGTACAGTTAACTTAAAGTATGGAGTTCCAGAAGGTGAAACAAGCATTACATGTACAGCCGGTATAGGTACATTTTTATTAGAATTTGGAACCTTATCGAGATTAACTGGAGATCCATTATACGAAGAAGTAGCTATGAATGCTATTAAAGCATTACATTATTATAAATCAAATATTGGGTTAGTAGGCAATCATGTAGATGTATTGACAGGTCATTGGACAGCTCAGGATTCTGGAATTGGTGCTGGAGTTGATTCTTACTTTGAGTATTTAGCAAAGGGTACTTTGTTATTCCAAGATCCATTATTAGCAACAATCTTTCATGAACATAAAGCTGCGATTGAAAAGTATATCCGTAGAGAAGATTGGCATTTATGGGTTTCTATGACTAAAGGTCAAGTGACTTTGCCAGTGTTTCAGTCTTTGGATGCTTATTGGCCTGGAGTGTTAAGTCTGTTTGGTGAAATTGGAGATGCTATGAAATCATTGCACAATTATCACCGTGTATGGAAACAATTTGGATTTACACCAGAGTTTTATAATATACCGCAAGCTGAAGCAGGCACAAATAGAGAAGGGTATCCATTAAGACCAGAACTCATAGAATCTGTTATGTATTTATACAGAGCAACAGGCGATCCTTATTTAATACAAGTAGGGATAGATATATTGAGAAGTTTACAACACAGTGCTAAAACTACATGTGGATATGCAACAATTAATGATGTTAGGGACCATAGAAAAGCAGATAGGATGGAGTCCTTTTTTCTGGCAGAGACAACTAAATATCTCTATCTTCTCTTTGACCCTGATAATTTTATTCATAATTCTGGCCAAACAGGAGACATTATTGAAACTCAATGGGGTCAGTGTATTGTAGATGCTGGAGGGTATATTTTTAATACAGAGGCACACCCTATAGATCCTGGAGCATTGTATTGTTGTCACAGGAGTCACAATTTATTTCCTAACCAAAAAGCAAAATTATGGAAATTCATTCCTATGAATGATCAGAATGAGGAAAAAAATGCAAAACACAATGTACTATTTCAAGGAGATACTAGAACTAAAAACGACGATAAACAGCCAATTGAAATTGTAAAATTATCTGAAATGAGGCACACTTTAATAAATGATGTAGAAAATAATCTTAATAAAAATTCTGTCAATTCTATGCTTCCAACAAGTAATGAAAATGATGAAACTGTAATAATAAAGGAAGAAGATAAATTAAGTAGAAATAATCAAAATCCTGAATCTTTGAAAGTACAAGTTGTTGCACCTCCTTCAGTAATTTATAAAGCCGATGATAGTGAAAATATTGATGCCTATGAAACATATGATACCCCGGATGGACTTTATTCTAATTCTGCCATAAGAAACAGTACAGAATCATTTATTAAACAAAATAATATAAAAGCACGATTTGAACCACAAATATTGTTAGAAAATATTAGGAAAGGAAATCTGTATCCTACAAATGATTCTGCAAGATTGAATTATCAACTTTTATCTTGCCAATCTCAATCATTCCTACAACGTATATCAATTATAGGCGAATTTTTTTAATGTTATTAATAATATTGTTATATATTACAAATATACTTACTATTCTCAATTCCAGTTTTTATATTTTACCTTACAGACAATATATTTCAGTTTTTTATCTATATTTTGACAATTTTTGTTAATTTTTAAATTATGCATTTATTTTTAACTGTTTGTTATTTAATTTAATTTGTCATTCCATATAAATTAATTTTTTCAAGAAAATTTTGAGTTACTCAAAAATAGTAATGTATCTTACACAGAAATTTGTGCATTATTTTAAAATAAATACTGGAACAATGTTATCGAAACGTATTTGATATATTTATAATTCTTAAATAATGAGATTCAATATACATCTTTATAAAATGAAAGGAAATACTTCAAATTACCCTCTTTTACTAGATTTTTTTTGTACGCATGCGCATACAAGAATCATGTCTGGCAACCTAGTAACGATGAATTATTAATAATTATTGAATTTTTTATAACAAAATACATTACTTAAAAAGTCAATGCTTAGCATATGTTTCATTCAAATAAGTTTTAAAGAGAAATGTAGCAAAAGTAACTTAGTTAGAAAGAAAGTTTTATTTTTCAGCAATAGTACAAGTTAGCCAACCGAAGAAATATTAAATGCAATGAGCATGTTGCACATACTGTGCCTTTGTAGAAATGTTGAATAAAGAATGCATGTAGTAGGGGAACCCCCATTCACAGGAATTCCCTGAACATCTCTGATGAATAATGCGCAAAAGCAGATTAGAATAGATATTTTAAACCAAAACGTTTTCAAGTAAATCATATAATATTTTAAAAAGTCTTAAATATAACTTTAAATATTAAAACGCAATTGTATCCAAATTTTAACGTATCATACGCATTAACAATTTTAATGTTGATATTAAATTAAAAATAAGTTTTAATATAAATAGTTTAACTAACAATTAACTACTTGTATAAATAATCTTATTTTTCTCGTAAAATACAGCTCTATACATTACTCAAAAAACTAAATATACAATTGAACGCTAATATTTAAAGTTTTATCATTTTTGTAAATGTTACACAATTCATTTAAAATTCTCCTAAAACGTACGAATCAAGTTCCTCTTAATAATACTATCGTGGCATTTATTTTAAAAGTATGTATAAATATGTATTTTACATGAATTGACGCCTGTAAAGATAAATAGAAATTTATTTCAGGAAAATTCTCATCAAAAGATGTACAGCCAATTACTATTAATGTATTGAACTGTTATAATAAAAGTTGCTATCAAAAGTAGAAAAGAATCGATGGGAGTATGTACGGCTGTATACTCAGTAACAATAAAAAAATTCTGGAACCATATAAGTTAAACATTAACTTATATAAACGAGACTTCTTAAATCTCAATTATTCTGCACTCTAAAAATAAATTTTAGATTAAATACTTTTAGATTTATCAGATAAGTAGGAACAACATTTAAGGAACAATAGTTCATATATAAAAAAGCTACATTTATTACAATAAATTGTGAAAATATAAGAATTCACTGTGTAATAAAGGGGGAAGTACGACGACTTTACTTCGGGGCTTCCCTAATTGGCTGCGCGCGCTGATTTTACTCTCCGCGCAGTATAAATACAGGATGCAGAGCGCAGTTCGTTATAACAATTGCGTTACGACACGAAATTACATCGTTCATCAGCAGCTCGCAAGCATACGAATTTTACCGTAAGTTAAACCTTAAAATAATTCACTTCTCTTCTTACAAGTATTTTCGTGAAACACCGTCAGTATATGAAACAAATTATTTCGAAAAGTATACAAAAATGTTGTTTAAACTTATACCTTTTAAAAAACGCGTATTATTTTAATTCTCTCCGAACTTTATACTTTTAATTGAATATGACATATCTGCACTTATTGTCATTATTATTATTCAATTTATTTAACGGACCGATTCATATCTTATACCTTTTTTATTTTTCTAGATGGACCGAGCACAACAAAATAGAGCAAATCAATGTAATCCTAATCACACACCGACTGGACCTGGGCATCAGGCCGGTTTTCACGGAGATAAATCCAAAGCAGCTTTGGATAATCATGCAAACCAGATGAACCCAAATAACCCACGGTTTGCTAGAAAGTAAACTACGATGTACTTGTAACTGGCATTTAATTCATAACGTGTATATTTCACAATAATATCTGTATTTTAACAATGCCATAATAAACACTATATTCATAAAATAAGATTCGAAGTTTTTACACCTACAAGTTTCCTTCTCCTAAAGACCATATTCGACATCCTTTAAAAGGATTGCATAAAATAATGCAAAGACGATAGTAATAAACTTAAGATATTCGATTAAAATTGTTCATTAGTTTAAATATAATTTCGTTTAATACGCTGAATCCAATTTAGCTGGTTGTTTTATCCAAAATCCCCAAGTAGTGAATTTTTCTCCATCTTGCTCTTCGTTTGGTCCTCGAAAAACCTTTATTTTTACTCGAGGTACTTCGTCTGAAAATATGAAGTATTTTACATTAAAAGTATATTCTAATATTTAAAAATATTACTTTGTTTTCAAAGAAATTAATTATATAAATCTCGCAGATAATTAATTATAAAAGAGTTAATTTTAGACTTGTATTTAATTTTAAATAGAAAATTATTTAGCAAAAGTAATATTGATATTTCCATTACTAACGAGTTTAAAAATTGAATAAAAATCATGTCAGATTTATAAACTTATGTTAGTTTAAATTTAAAACTATGTTCATATAATATTATTGTTCAATAGCTACCATGTTTCGCGGAATCATCGTGGAAGAATAATTTTTCTGTACCACCTTGCACCCTCATAAATGTTACCGAAATCAAGTGACAAAATAAACAAGTAATTATCTGAAAATGAGATTGTGTATAATAAATAGCAATAGAAGCAAAGATTAAATAAAATGGTAATAAAATTTCAGACTTACCAAGAAGTTCATCTTTTGCAATTTTATGAAGTAGAATGACATTTCCAATAACAACGATCCTTTTATGTATCAACAGCTAAGTATTTAGAGCATAACCGATCTAAATCTTTGCGGTTTTCAGTTACTTTCTTCTATGGTGAAAGTTACATTTTTCTTCTTAGGAGGAAAAGCATAAGCGATAAACAAATACCGTATTGTTCACATAATTAACAAAATTTTCTTGTTTTACGGTTTTACTTCATCGAGAAATGTAAGAATTGTCTTACTAAATGATCTCTGTAAATGATCTCTATATTTTGTCGATAATATGCCAAATCCACGTTTTTTACGAACTTTGGATGGAAAAGAATGTCTCTTACGTAAAATGTTTCGGAAAATTTTCAGATTGACAAATGCTACTTTTTTAATTTTCTAAATTGCCAAATTTTCAAATTTCTAAATTTCTAAATGTTAACTCTTAATTTTCTTAGTTCCCAAACTCTCTTTCACAATTACCAAATGCTAATTTTCAATTTTCTGAATTTCCAAATTTTTAAACTCCCAACTTTTATAGTTTCCAAATGTTAATTTTCGATCTTCTGAATTTACAAATTCTTACATTTCCAAACTTCCAAATATCAAAAATTTCCAAAATATCTCTTCAATTTCTTGAATTTCAAATTTTCCAGATTCTTAAGTTTACAAAATTTTCAAATTTCTAAGAATCAAGCTTTTCCAAGCTCCCCAATTCTAAAATATCAAAATCCGAAATTCCAACGGACTAAAATATTCGAACTTCCACATTGACAATTACTAAATGTGTAATTTAGTAATTCAGGAATTCAGTAATTCAGTAATTCAGTAATTCAGTAATTCAGTAATTCAGTAATTCAGTAATTCAGTAATTTAGTAATTCAGTAATTCAGTAATTCAGTAATTCAGTAACTCAGTAACTCAGTAATTCAGTAATTCAATAATTTAGTAATTTAGTAATGTAGTAATTTAGTAATTTAGTAATTTAGTAATTTAGTAATTTAGTAATTTAGTAATTTAGTAATTTAGTAATTTAACAATTAGGTAATTTAGTAATTTAATAATTTAGGAATTTAGGAATTCAGTAATTCAGTAATTGCTGATTTAAATAAACTTACTTTAGTAATTCCAGTTACTAAACGTTTAATTTAGCGTCGGGTAAAACAAAAAGGCGCTTACGTAAAATTTTGATAATGTATTTTCATCTCTCATAATCTATACACATATATAAATTCTATATTATACATACATGTTTATACAATTTATATATATGTACGTGGAAGCCCATTTTCATGTTTAACTACAATATTAATGAGGTTGTTCACGAGATTCCACGAAAGCTTTCGCGTTTCCGTGAAAGCTCTTCAAATCTACACGTTCAGTTCTGAACACCTGTGTAATCTCATCGGATTTGAAATTAGACATGTCGCAATCAATAAAAATGACACACAAATCGGAAATTATGTGACAACAATTATGTTAGCTATTTCGCAAAGTTTTTATACAACGATCATTGCTATATTTCGTTCGTATTTAAACAAATTGACGAATCAATTCCATTCAACGCGTTCGATCGCATCTTCTATTTATTTCTTCGTGTATTGTCTGCTTATTCAAATTCTTCTACAATTACATCGTTTGCCTTTCGTTTCTTGGTATTTTATCATTCATATATTAACATTCTTTTTTAAAATAGTACCGTTTGCCATGCAGTTTAGTATCTCTCTTTAAGAATAAGTAAGATGTTAAAAACCGTAATCTGAAATGTTCCTATTACTTTAATTAATTAACGGATAACACATTTACCTTCTATCGATTATTCTAAAATAAATTTGTCTATCCTCGTGAAGAATAACTCGGTCCGCTCTCAAACTTCAAATAAATCATTGCTTGTAATTATTGTAATTGCAGTTTTATTCACACCATCGCACCTAACTTGATCTATCGGTTTCGTTTTTGGTCAACTGTAATCGAAGCGGTTCTCTTTTATGCATCTCGCAACAGAGCGATACTATATGTACAATATTGTTTATTTAATGACAACAAGGCAATATTATGTTTAATTTATCGTTGATCTACGTTGATGGAGAAAACGATTCCTTAAGAAAGAAAAATAATGCTCAAATGATCAGTGATTCACTTATACGTTAAATTTGATAGCCTTAACAATTAACGCTTAACTCCTACAACTCTCAATATAACGTTTAATATCATTGACAAAGATTTTTTTCGATCAATAGATCGTATTACATTAATTATTATCATTATTATCATTCTGGAAGACATCATTGGAAGACTCATTTCATAAATATTATCGTATCTCATTTAAATAACACATTTCTTCGACTGCGAGATGTTCTTTCTTTTCGTATTATACAGAATTATAGTGCGGGTCAGGTATAGAAAATGGCGGCGTAAGACATAGTTATAGAAGAGGGTTAAAGAAAAATAGCGATACAAGAAGTTTCATGTAAAATAGTGAATTTAAGAATTTTCCAAGTAATTTTCCAGCTAACAAAGTTCCAAATTGTTCTTTTCCTTTTCCTACGTTTCGTTTATTTCTAAAATTTCCTAACTTTTCAAATTATTAAATTTTCTAACTTTTTCTCAAATACACAAATTTTCAAATTCGTAGATTTTTCTATAATTAAGAAAAATAATACATTTTCGCAATTATGAATAAAAGACATTCGCGTAAGACATGTAATAGCATCAAGTTCTTATACCGCCACTTTGTCTAAGAAAAAGTGTGATATTCTCCGTAAAATAATTTTTGATCTACCTAATTACGCCAATGTGACAAATGCAAAAATTTAAACTGTATAACATCACTGAAAGACATTAATATATTATTTTTTGACGATATGTTAAGGCTAGTCTTATTAAAATGGTACTGATATTACTCGAGCGTCAACTAACCTCTTTTTTAAACTATCATATCGCTCGTATCGTCGCATGAAATTGACGCTTATCTTGGTCACGAAACACCTTACGAACCACAAATATTTCTACCAATTCAATCTGGTACAATGGATGAAGGAATTCCACACTCTTTATCGTCTCAATCACACACCATACTTTCACCAATGATGGAATAGTCTCTAGTTTAAATATTACTCAAGGAATCAAATAGAATTGAAGAACGCGAAGTAAAAATTAAAAAATTTAGGAATGGACAAATAAATTTGATCAGATTTAAAGAACATCTCGCAGAACATTTGACGAACCTACTACAATGGACTACAATTCATATTGCTTAATCTAGCGTGTGTGATCTATGCGGCTTTCAAAGACCTTGGAAGACGTTGGATTATAATTAACTAATTAATTGTACTTGTTCGTACATAACTGGTTACATATTTGCATTCACTTGCTCGACGAGGAGACGTTAGATACGCTGTATTTATTACGGGCAGCTAATGATTCTGGAGTAACCATAAGAAAAAATTGTTATGGCAGTACTATAGTATTTGGGATAAACGAGATGTGATACAGTTGCAGTAGGCTTCCTTAAGGAAGCTGTTTCTATGGAATTATGTTCATTGCCTTTAATTAGTTCATACATTTTCTTGCTTGGATTTGAACTTCAGACACTTGACAAATTTGAATATTTGAAGCTTTGATATTTGGAAAATTGGAAATTTGTGAAATTGAGAATTTTTAATATTTGGAGAATTTGGAAATTTAAAGTTTTAAAAATTTGTCCTTTAGAGAACTTGAGAATCAAAAAATTTATGAAGGTTTAAAAATAAAATATTGGAACCTAGAAATTTGAGAGGTATTTAGAAATTTCTTACATTAGGAATTTAAAGATGTAGAAGTTCAGAAATCAATAATTTTTTAAATTTGAAATTTTAAACATTTCCTAATTAAAAAATGTGCAAATTGAGATATTCTCATGGTTTAGAAATAAAAATTTAGAAACGTGACGATTTGAAAATATATTTTCCCTCGAGAAGCTTAACACAGTTGCAGTTTATTAATTTCTGATGGTCAATTCATATTTTGAAATGGACCAGGCTCCCCCAGAATCCTACTTACATAATGTACCCTATTTATACATTTTTTGAATGGAAGGTTCTCTTTCGTTATTCCGTGTACCTTCCAGTGTGTCACACCCTAATGAACATTGTCCGAAATACTATAATGCATCAAAAGTTACTCTTCCTGTACGCTTAAAGTTCGCTAAACGCCTCCTCGGCGATACGTGTGATTCAACGTATAGATAGAAATTACAAGATCCGCAATGTTGATTATAAAATCCCGAAATCTGTGTAACAGTAATTAGTTAACTTGTACGTACAATATTCACCGTGTTTCGCTTGTACACGCAACCTGTTTGTTTGGAAGACATCGATTACTTACGGCCTAGCGAGATATTTACTGCTTGCTAAATATAATCTAAATGTTGTCTAGGAAGCCCCTGTTGTCGACCATCGTCGATGAAATCAAGAAAAACGAGGAGTCGGGAAGACGTAGGACACGAAGCCGAGATTGCTCAAGAATAAATATTTGCTCGTTCTACGATGCTCTTCGTCTTAAATATACATCATTTAGCTAGATATGTGTGAGTTCTGGTTGAATTATAAATGTACAATCTCAAAATGTCTTGAACGTTTTGTATCTACTTGAACGAGCGGGAAGGACACACCTTTATAATAATGTCTCTAAGCGATGACACGAAAATCGTAAACTTTGTACGATCGATCATAAAAATGTTCGAAATCAGCAAAAATAGAGTCGCGTTGTTTGATTATTTCTTTATTTCTCTTTCTCTCTTCACTTCGAATCTCAAGGGAATGCTAGATTGCAGTGCAGCCGCTAAAAGCGGTACAATACTTGTACCATGTGATCCGGAAATTGATAGGTGCGCGATTAAAGATGCCAGACGTTCTCGATAGGTTTCGACCGTTTGATACAACGATAAAGGGCAATTGACGCAAGCTGCAATTCGATAGTTCCCTTGAGCAGTGCGTATATCTACACATTTGTTTATGGAAGACAAACGAAGATCGAAGGAACCAAGTGGCCATTCAAAACGGTAAACCGATCTCGAAGGCGTTTATCAGAGCAGAGCCAGAATCGTACACACCGATAACGCCGAAGAGTACACCGAGGAAGATGACGAAACAATCGTAAGCGACTGCACTCCATTCCATAGAGTTTCTCTTCAATTTCAAGTGGAAATAACAGGGCCATATGAAGGACAACATGGTCCCGGTGAAGGAACCTATGAAACCCATAAGAATACTGAAATGGGGAATGAAGATCGCCATAAGAATGGTGAAAACGATCACGCCAACTCGCCACGCCAGACCCCAGACTTTCAGCTCGCGATCCACGGTCCATATCGTTGGGAAGATCGTTTTAGGCCTACCCCTAAAAAACGCTCTCTCGAGGAGCTCGCATGCTGCGTAATACGGCAGAGGATACGAGAGTACAGCCTTCACCACCAGGCAAAAGTTGACCAGACCTTTGAAACCGGCCGAGTGTAGATTGTTCGTGATCACTTGCTGGGTGTCGTTTTGGAAAGTGAGGAAACAGATCCAACCGAAGAGGGACTTGAAGGCGGCGGCCGCGATGTGGCTCCAGTTGAGCATCCAGTCAAACTTGGACCGATCGATCAGATTGCCCTCTAAGGTGGGCAGGAATATCTGCGAGGTGTAGCTAAACACGATCACGCCGAGGGAAATCGGGAAATTCTCGAGATCTATTGTCCATTTCACCTTGGACCAACCCCAATCACCGATCTCTAGGATACAGTAGCCGACGATAATGGCGTTTATGAACAAATGGGACATCGTGCACCAGAAGCTCAACACCGAGACGTGCTGCAGGGACTTGAGAAAACCGAGAGGCAGTAAAAATATTCCAGTTAACATCATCCAGCTTCTGGTGTCGATCGCTCCCTCGGGAAATGTACCGATCATCAGGTCACCGCAGACTACCACGTACAAGATGCAGGTCATCAGTAATTCGATTATCTGAGCTATGTTTACCGCTCGAGCACCCCATGTCGGCCCGAAACATTCTTTCGCGATAGCTACGTAGGAATCCCGTACTCGGACACGCTGACCGGTTACAGTATCCAATTCGTATAAACATTCGACGAGTATTTTGCCGGTGTAACAGCAGATGTGCGCTATACCGATCATCGCAGCGATAGCCCAATAACCACCGCGTAATACGGCGAATGGTAACGATACGATGAACATACCCTGCAATTAGAAATTTATATCAGTTTGTGTCTGAATCCTGTAAAACTAAATTTATGAGAAAATACAACTGTTTTATACAAATACTTCGATTTTGTTATTACGCACATGTATTAGTATCGAAAGATCGACAATTCGCAAAATATTTTTAATCTTTGCGTAAATCTCACGAAGTATTCATTCTTTTTAGTACTATACTTTAATTGTTTTCTGTATAGAATATTCGCATAAATTAACTTGTATGAAAAATAATATGCTGTTACATGTATTATTGCATTTATTGAAAAAGTAACATTGTTTGAGGTCTTATAATACCCTTCTAGTTATTAGAAGTTAGTAAAAACATGAACAAATACCTGTATAGCATTTGTAACATTCCATGCGGCTTGCCATTCGTTAATTTTTACCCCTGATCCACCAAATTCACCGCCACCTTCGTCGTATTCGCTAAATTCTCCGCTACTGACACTTCCTGTCCTAATTTTGTCACTGAAACATTAAATTGCCTAAGTTAATATAGATTTAAAACGCACTAAAAATTATGGAAATAATATGAAGAAGATATATCACATAATCATTTTAATTTTATAATATTGCTGTTTTTGTTTCTAAACTCAAATAAAAAAAATTGGAGATGTAAATTTAAAAATCTGAAAATTTGCTTAAATTGAATTTAAAAATTCAATAATTTAGGAATTAAAAATTTTTAAATTGATAACTAAACATTTCTAAATTTCTAATGTGAGATGTACATAACATTTTGTACTCTGTAACATTTTGTATGGTAAGGATTTTATATTTTGAGACGTCAGACCTATTCTAGTTTTCATTTACTTACGTCAATGTCTGTCAATCAATGTGTTAAACTACTTAATTTTACCCGTTTCGTTGATAGCTGAAGGAATCCTCGGCGATGGCTACATTGTTCTGGTCCCGATATCCTTGATCTCCGTTCATGGTCATCATTTCCGTATTATCGTGACCTTCGTCGAATGACTTGAATTCTCCTTGACCACTTTGCCCTGGAACAGGTCGTTGACCTGTCCCATTTCCGCGAATAAGTTCCATGCAGGGGCTGTTTTCTGGCCACTTAGCCTTCAGTGTTTCCCATGCAACGTTGACCGCTGCCCCAAAGGATGGTATATAAAATCCACGGAAGTGGGCCATTATTTAATTAGTACTCTGAAAATGAATAAATAAAATTTCTTCAATTGAACTAATGCCTATCAGTCAAAAATTATTTTACTAATCGCAAAAGTATAAATAATTTTTCGAAATAAAAATTCTTCATTATTAATCGAACAGGAAAGTAAAAAATTGTTGATGTAATTAAACGATGAAAAACATGCATTCAATAGATTATCGAAGTGTTTTCAAATACTTTTAAAAATCTAATAGGATTCAAAGAATTATTGATACGGAAATGTTTATTCGTTGTCAACTGTTGCGGATGAGTAATATTGCACATTCGATGAAACTCGATATCTGTGGCCATCATCGATATGTACTTACGCAACACTTTTAAATTATACCTTCCGTAATAAAAAATATATCTAAACAAATGATTTGCATAAATCGTACCCGATATCTAATTCACCCCCAGATAATTTGAAAACTTATTGACTATTTATTTAAATGACCCTCTATATTTTACAATGTAGCAATAAAAAAATCTACCAAATTGATATTTTATTTATCACACAAAGATAGCAATTTATATTTTTAATAATAATATCTAATGATAACTATGAGATTAATTGACAGGGTATTATACTCCCAGTAATAAAAAATTTTATCAATTTTATTTACCACATAATGATAAATATATCAATTTATATTTTTAATGATAATTTCTAACGATAACTGTATGAATAAGCAGTATCTACCTCTACATTTTATCAGTAGTAACAAGAAATTTTATCAGGTTTTTATTTTACTTCATATAATAAATCTCAATTTATACGGTCAATAATAATTTCTAACGATAAATCAAGCATACTTTTCTTTAAAATATCAACCTCAATTCCTGATCTCAATCTTTCCTAAATAAGTTAAAGAGATTGCACATGTAGGTCATTTTAATCACTTAGCAGAAAAAGGGTCAAATATATAGTATGAAACAATTACACAGAAATTAAAGTCTAATACTCTAAGTTAACACAATATCCGTATCTGAACGTAACATTTAATGGTTGTCCCTTCAAAATTTTCCTTCATCATCCCTTTTTTTTAACAATCTCTCCCAACTTTCCCTGGGATATGTTCAACGTTTTCGTTACAAACATTTATTACTGAACAAGTGTGCGATGATCAGATCTTGATTTCTTGCTTTACTTACCAAACGACGAACGGAATTCTTCAGAAACTTAGCGGCTTTTGAACAATGCAACGATGGCAGCCGCGATCACCTCCGATACCGAGCTCGTTCGTTCTTTCTTACCAGGTGAGGCTAAACTAAAAGAAAATAAATAAGGGGCCCGGCAGCGAGTTCAGAGAACGAAAATACTTGAAAACAAAGGGTCGAAACCGTCTAACTACGTGGGCTACGATACCGCATGGTCGTCTACGGTCTACCGCGATCGTCGAGTCCTTAATCGCGAGCCCTTAATCGCGCCATAGACTACGGGGTTGGCGTTTCAGGGGTTGGGAGATCAGAAGAATATAGCCAGCATCCCTCGAACGCGCAAGCCTCGATCGATGTGGTCCACGAGACATCTCTTGGCATCCCAGTACTGTACTTCAAACTTGCATCTCCCCTACGTAAAGAAGAGACGATATTTCTAATAGGGTAACTGTTCAGCGGATGCTTAGAAACTCAGGTCGCTTTGGTGTCCTAAATATCTCTTCAATTAGACTTAATTTCATTTAAAAAAATTCGCGTCCAGTTGCATACTGTGATGCGATGTTGAAATTATGAAGGGATTAATGAAATTATAAAATTTGTATGGACATTTTTTACTGCAAAATTGAACTACTATGATACATATTGTTTCCCACAAAAGATATATGTTAGAATGGATCTACTCCTTTTGTATGACCCTTTCTGAATATGGCGATATAACGAGTGGCAATATAACGCAATAATCGCCAATTGTGTCCACGAGATTAAAGGGTATTTCTAAATTAGATTAGAAGTTGTTTTAAATTCATGTGCTTTTTCTATATTTCTGATATTAGTCACTTACAGTAAATTGAAATACTGCATATTTAGACCATATTTGTACACAAGTAGTTTACAGCTGTTTTATACAATGAAATATTCTTGTATGACAATGTATACAAATTCTGTATATTCTTTCAAATTTTATTCTTCCATATGTACAAATAAAATATTTAACAGATTCACAAATTAAATCAGGTTTCATGACTAAAGTATCATTCACTTAATATTAGATAAACGTATGTTAAATAATAAATATTTCACATTTACATCTGGTGCTCTGCATTACATTTTTGTACAGACTTTTTAAAAGTCTTAAAAGAAATGCGATAAAGCATGTATGTATAATTGAGAATGTCGGTGATGAAAATCATGCATTCCAAAGAAACAGATACCATTGAAGTTGAATGCACTTATAGCGTTCATATACATTCAGAAAATAAGACTCAATAATGCTTAGAGTTAATACTAATATTGTTTTATTATTTAATATAATACAATATTCAAAGGTATCAATAAAAATCAATATAGATTTCAATAAATAAAGAAACCAACTTGTTTATTATTTATCTTAGGTATGTTACTTTTCACAACGACCATTAATAATTGATATTAACTGTACAATCGTTTGTGTCCCTGCTTTTGTAATTCAAATTATAGTAACACTTAAACAAATAGTTTCTCACATACAATATGAATATGTTACACTATACTGCACACAATTCTGGTAACATTCCAAGGCCGTGAGATCACAACAACAAAAGAAATGCTTTTCCCTAAATTTTACCATAAAGACATTAATAAATTTACATATTAATGAATTTATAAGTTAATTATTATAGAAGTGAATGCAGTAGATATTTAAAATTTTCCACTAAATTTTCTACAGTACAAAGCTTGTATATGTTACTAGTGTTCTGTAAAGTTTTGTTGCGATAGATTTTGATTGGTATATTTCACCAACATTAACTAAAATTTCTGCTAAATTAAGTCGATTTCATTTTTCAGTCTTCCACTTATATGCATATCATATACATATATATATCTATAATATATATATATATATATATATTTGTATATATAAATTTTTTTTTATTTCTGTTTTAATGGACGAATATAAATCAAGAAATATGTTGTATTTTACAAGATTGTGACAGTATTTTGTATATGCAACAATGATACACTGATATTATAGTAAGCGTACAAAGAGGAAGTGTTAAATTTGATATCAAAGTCGGTAGATTAATAATACATTACCGACTTAGACAAAGAATACAACTCAATATTTATCTTTAAATAATACACTTATAAATTCCAAATTTTGTACTAATTTCCCATCAAATACAGATAATACCCACAAATTTACATTAAATTGCACGTAGTTACAAAAAAAAACACACTAGGCGAATGTCACTAAATGCTCAAAAATTGTTTAAAATTTTTGAATAACTTCTCACAATATATACTTATTGTACAAGGAGTACAGTGTAAATAACTTTGTGAAAGAAGATATTTCTGTTTTACAAATCTAACAATTTGTAACACAGCTAGGACATAACAATTAGACATTGATTCCTTTATGTGAGGATATCAATCGTAACTTTAATGTCCATGTAGAAGTGTTAATTTGTATGTATAACCATAAAATGTTGAAGTAATTAATTTATTCAGTGGCATCTCTTTGTGTTTGATGAGAATCACTATCAGAAGTTAAACTTTCAATAGCACTGTCTTGTTGTAAAACTGTTTCAGAACTTCTAGTCATACACAGTTTATTGGATTTCATTTCTGTGCGATTCGATTTAAAATTCTGATCTAAATTTGAATTTGAAGTGGAATGTAATGGTACGTTAGACTGAGCAGAAACAGGTCTTTGACATGAATGCAACATTAATTCTGGTCCTCCACCATATGTTGTTAAGAAAAACTGCCAGAGTTCTTCTGGTATTTGTCCATAATCTGAGCCTACAAACAATTTTTATGTTGTAAAAATAGATTACTTAAACATAAACCTACAAAATAGTCCACCAACTTCATTACATATCTTTTTCTTAAGAATTGTTATAAATATCTATATAAACTGTTTTCAAAAATATTACTAATTTTACCATTTTAAATAATCTTTTTAGGTAGTATGATACACTGGAATACTTACTCACTTTAAGAATGTTTTGCCCATTTTTATTTATTATAATAGAATTATTATCAATTGGTCCAGGTGGTTGTGTTTCTTTACCTCTTACAAAACTTTGCCACTGTCTTAACCAAGCCATAGCCAATCCATAAATAGCTGTAGGATTATCTGCATTATGATTTAATCGTTGAAATACCTCCATCTCATATTGTCTCCTTTTTTGTAACAATTCATACTTTTCTTCACAGACTGGACATTCATATAAATGAGTACACGCTGGACCACCTCCAAATCTGAAATAATATTGTGTTAATTAACTTAAGATATAATAGAAAAAATAATTTTATAAGCTTAATAATCATATAATATAATTAGTATAATCTGTAATTAAAAATTACTTTTATAAAATATCAAATCACTTATAAATTAAATTGCACTTACGTATTATATAAATATTCCCAAACTGCTTGTGGAATGGGCATGCTAAGCTTGTCTACAAACTGTGCTCTAACAGGATTAACACCACCATGTGGACAAAGAAAATCTGAATTATCTATAGGTCCTGGTTCTGAAAATGTGTTAAAACGATTTATCCATTGCCGTGACACAAAGAAATTCAAATCAGACAATTCTCTCGATGAAATTTCCATCAACTCCATAGTTTTATCACGTAATTGTAACATTTCTGGTGACCACTTTTTATAAAATAACACGTAAGCTTCACAATGCTTTACTGTTTCTGGTGAAACTTCAGTGACACACTGATCATCAAACTCAAACCACTTATTAACAATTGGATTTAATGCATAACAAGTATAATGCCCACCACCAGCTGTTCCATGATGACAAATTACCGATATCAAATCATACATAGTTACTTTGGATACACATTCTTTGTGCAAATATGGTCGCATATCTAATCCCTCCAGTGGAAATGAAACATAATTTGCTATTTTTGAACTAAACATCAGTTCATGACGAAACCTTTTTAAATGAACGCATAATATTTCTGGTAATTCTAAAACTTTGGAAAATTTAATTCCATTACGCAGCTTGTTACACTTTTCACAACTATACATATTATCTCCTTTAAGTTCGTCTGCACTAAAAAATGCAGAAAGACAGTCATGAAGACTAACAACTGGCCCCCAAAACCAAGAGCGCATCCATTGCAAGAACCAAGACAACCAACCAGATTGATTGGTTACATATACAACATCTGAACATGGCCCTGCTTTCTGTGGAGTTAGAGATCCTTGATGTAACATATCAATGTGATCTCTACTTGGAATGGGTAATGACAAATCTTGAAAAGTTTCTACTCTTGTTGAAATCCTATCACATGTAAGACATTGTACGCTACTTAACAGTTTACCATCAAATATATCACTGATGATACTTCGAGTTTTCATTTGTTTTTTAGTTCTGTACTTAACAGGTGAATTTTGTGTAGATCTTTGTGATTGAGAAAACGGTGGATCTACAGTTGATTTTTTGATACTCCTGTTTGTAAATTTACTTCTTAGCTTCTCTGACTGAGACACACGAGAATACCTACGTTTTGTACCACGTTCACCTTCATCACTAAGAGAACTTTGTTCACTTACTCCAGAATCACAAGTTTCATACTCGGCATCAGACTGACTTGAACCATTTCCATCAATTTCAGTTTCATCTTCATCTGATGATTGCTCTCCTAATCCCTTTAATCGTAATAAACTATCACGATCATCTTCGATATGTTCTTTCAATTCCTCATGTAGTTGATCCATAAAGCATCTCAAAAATTCTTGAGTATCGTGTTGATGGTATCCTCTAAACATTGGATGAACTGTACGAATACCAGATAATATTCCATGTGGTACAACATATCCTCTTGTTTTCCTGTTCCACATGTCTCGAATAAGGTTTAAATAACTTAGACTTAAACCAGGTTTTCTATCTTTGGACATATAGCTAACCATATGACCACAATCCAAAAAGAATTGTGTCAAAGGAGGTACATTCGATAAAGCTTGAAGTGCAGCATTCATATAACATGTATTGCCAATATTTTGAAGACCAACAAGACCTCTTGGTTTCCCATTAAAATCTTTGCTTTCATCTGAATCTGTACTGTCTGGTGAGTCACCAGATTTTTCATTAAACAGCCCATCTTTCTCATAATTAACTCTATTTAAAAGTTCACCATAAATCCTGTTATGTGTAAAAGAAAATAGATTTTTATACTTTAAAAAGTTGTTTTGTATATGTTTAAATTACACATGTAAATACAAAAACTAAGTGAAAAGTAATGAACTTAGATCTATACTCCTTTTCATAAATATACCAAATATCAATAAGTTTAATTTATTTTATAAAAAGTATCATTTAAAGAAAATTCAATATAAACATAATGTTGAAAGGATTTAAACAATGTGCTAAGATTCCATATTCTATTTTTTATTTCTTCTGAATCATAACACTGCAACTAATTTTCATTGTCTGGGATGATAGTCAAAAGAAAATCATTATCTTTTCTGTGACAATGTTTGAAAAATGAGTGTAATGCTTTTCACATCCATATCAAATGTTACTTTAAATGATATTGCTCATGACTGAGTCAAATAAATTTATTACAACATGTTTATGTTTATGACATGTTTATAAGGGAAATATGCACATATAAACTTAGTGCTGCATCTTATTTCATTTTGAAAATATAAATAAAAGTTCATTAATTTTCAACCAACCTTTGTAATTTTTTAAATTAATAAATATACTTACTTATCCAGTATAAGTCTATTAAGATCATCAGTTTTACAATCTATATTAACAGGTGCATCGCCAGCAAACTTATTACTCTGGTTTTTAATATCTACTTGTGTAGGTGACCGTGGTGGAGACGGTACATGCCTGGTTAAAACTTCTCTTTTACAAGCATAACACCATATACGATTTGTAGAAAGATTCATGTGAGCACAGTGGGAAGGAAATTTTTGGTTGTGTACAGTGCTATGATCCAAATGTGTTTCAGCGCACCCGACCCAAAGACATTCAGGAAACAAGCACAACCATAAGTTAGGCCCGCTTGTATCACATTCACTACATTTTATAAATCTTTCTTTCTGAGACACGACAGTCTCAATAAATGCAAGATCACAACGATTGGCGATGTGGGGACAATTCCTCGAACTCAGAGGCATTTGGATTTTGATATTTGTCCTGGTAATTGCTATTGATCGTAGGACGCGAAATCGCGCGTATACTTTACTTTCTTACATTCGTCTAAAATTTGGCTTGCATACGACTGTGATGTTACAATCATTTTCTAACCTGATTGAGACATGTCGTTCATGATAATCGAACATTATCCACGAAAACGATTGTCATTGGAGATATTATTCGTTTAACGGTAGATCATACTCATCATCAAACGAATTCTTGTTCATTCTGCGCATAGCAGCTTTGATTGGTTCGAGAACGCATCGTAACCAAGAGCAACATGCATGCTCGTTTTCGTTTTTTAAGACGCCAAAAGCATATACTTAGTGATTTTTTATTTTGTATACTTCATATATGAAGCACAACTACAATGGGCGTTAGATACAGAATTTGGATTTAAAGATTTGAAGATTTGGAAGTTTGAGAATTTTAGAAACGTGGTGGTAACCGAATTTTGTTATTCACCACATAATCATACTTGTTCTGCATTATTACTCCTTTTCGGTATTCATATATTTTTGTCCACCATGTATATGACTAATATAGTCGAAAGTGCAGAATAGTGGGATAGAATTAACAGGTGGGGAATTAGCTGAAGTTAGCTGTGTTGCGCCAACCAAGTATGATCTCTTGTTGAACGTACAATATTAATATTTGAGAACATTAATTCTTGTAATCAGATAGCCAATATAAAAGAAAAAATACATGTCAGTGTCCATGTGCAGTAGATACTCGATCTGTAAAAGTTTCGAATAATCTTATATATTATTATTTTTTCTTAAATCATGTTGAAATTTATAAAAAGGATTAATATTTATTGTAGATTACTGTTTTTAAATATATTGTTTTGCATTAATATTTAAAAAATTCAAATATTAGTTATGACATTCGTGAACAAATATTTGTCACGCTAGATGTCGCGTCATTACATAAAATGTCAATGAATAATATTCAGGTTGGGCACCGCTATGTATTCCTCTTAATAACCTGGCCGAAATTCAAGTCAAAAGTGCACATGGATTATTAACGTGTTTCAATAGATTTTTATTTGTTCTAAGTGTATCTTAATAATATAAATAAACAATTTATTAATTATTGCGTATACGTAATTATATAGGTAATTGTGAAAAGTGTATTACCATACGGTTCAAAGAGTTTTTAAAGTTAACCTATACGTTAACCTCCTTTTTATTTATTTACTAAAATACTTGACACTTGTAAATATTTTTATGAATTAAAAATCTTTATTGAAAAAATTCAGATTAAAATTCAGATTAAAATGTTAAATTTTGTATTAGAAACTGAACTGAAGAAAATATAAATTTTATTTTTTAGCAACAAAAATGGTGTTATCTTGTCGATTTTATAAAGAAAAATATCCAGAAGTAGAAGATGTAGTAATGGTAAATGTACGTAGCATAGCTGAAATGGGAGCTTATGTACATTTACTAGAATATAATAATATTGAGGGTATGATTCTACTTTCTGAATTGTCTAGAAGACGAATTAGATCAATCAATAAACTTATTAGAGTAGGAAAAACTGAACCAGTTGTTGTTATTCGTGTTGACAAAGAAAAAGGTAAAGTAAATAGAAGTTTCATTTATGCACACACTGAAAAAAGAATATGAGTACATTGTTTCTAACTTATTAATTGTCAAATAATTTAATTTAGGTTATATTGATCTTAGTAAACGTCGTGTATCAGCAGAGGATGTAGAAAAATGTACAGAAAGATATGCAAAAGCAAAAGCTGTTAATTCAATTTTGAGACATGTCGCAGAATTATTACATTATGATAATGATGATCAGTTGGAAGAATTATATCAAAAAACTGCATGGCATTTTGAAGAAAAGTATAAAAAGCAAAAGGCTTCTGCATATGATTTCTTTAAACAATCAGTTTTGTAAGTATAAAATATATCGTGATAAAATTAATACAATTTTATTTGCATGATACTGACTATTAAAAACATTGTGACTTTAGGGATCCATCTATTTTAGCTGAATGTGGTCTTGATGAACATACAAAAGAGGTATTATTGAATAATATCAAACGAAAATTAACTTCCCAAGCAGTTAAAATTAGAGCAGATGTAGAAGTAGCTTGCTATGGTTACGAAGGAATTGATGCAGTGAAAGCTGCTTTGAAAGCAGGTTTAGCTCTTTCTACTGATGAACTGCCAATTAAAATTAATTTAATCGCACCACCATTATATGGTATGTTACTTTTATTATTACTGCAATGTGGATGTTTATGTATTTATAATATATTGAAGTTTGTAAAGAGCACATAAATCACATAGTACATAAACTTGCAGATCTCTGTACTTTGCAGACTTTGTCTGATTATTAAACATTATATTTAATATTGCAATAGGTAACTAATAAAATGATTTGTAATTAAAGAAATGTTTTACCCTTTTCAGTTATGACAACATCTACACCAGAAAAACAAGATGGTTTGAAAGCATTGAGTGATGCTATTGATGTCATACAAAATAAAATAACATCCTTGGGAGGAGTATTTAACGTACAAATGGCTGTAAGCTTAGTATACTAATTATAGTGCTTTTTTATAATTCGATATGTTAATAGATTTTACACATAAAAAATTGTACTTTTGAATTTCTAGCCTAAAGTCGTTACTGCAACTGATGAAGCAGAATTAGCAAGACAAATGGAACGAGCTGAACTTGAAAATGCTGAAGTTGCTGGTGATGATGATGAAGAAGAAGTAGAAGGAATGGATGGATTTAGTGGTGGTGAAGGTGCAGAAGATGATAAAAAACCCGATAATGACTCTGATAAAGAAGAATAAACACAGAATACATCAATAAATGTTTCAATGACTGACATTATTTCTCGGTTATGATCATACTTTTTTTTGAGTATGATACTGCCTTGCTGGACACTATCCAAACATTTTAAATAAATTTACAAAAGTCACTGTATTATAATTTATAAATAATTTTCTATTAACTTCGTAAAATAAATAATAATATTTACATAATTGCTAATAAAGTTTTTCAAGTTTTTTGTAATTATATTATTTTTAATTCTGTATTGGGAAATTTTTGATCTTCTGTATATTTATTAAATTTGTTATATTTATCATGTCAGAGTATGTACAAATTTTACACAAATTTTTTTACTCTTTTTTTCACATTTTTATTAAAACTTTGTACAGTTTTATTAAAATGATTTATTCATTTGCAATTGTAACTTCCACTTCAACACCAGGTTCGATGGAGATACTAGTGATTTGTTTGACAATTTCTGATGGTGAATATAAGTCAATAACTCTTTTGTGAATACGCATCTGGAAACGATCCCATGTTTTTGATCCTTCACCACAAGGTGTTTTACGTGTTGTTATCCTCAAAATTTTTGTAGGCATACGGACTGGCCCTTTCACTTTGAGTTTCTGTTTATTAGCTCCATTGATCAATTCAGAGCAAACTAAAATATATGTATAATTAGTCAAATTCGTACACATAAAATCAATATTAAACAATAATACCATACAAAGCAGCTTACCTTTTTCAAGAGAGCGTACATTTCGCGACGTAAGTGTAATCCTAATTCTGTGAATAGGAGTTACTTCTTGTCCTGGTTTTTCAGGATTGTCGACTTTTGTACTTGCCTAAAATATTAATCCATAAATTAAAAATGCACAATACAATAGTTATTCAAAATATGTTTATACAAATTTAGTATAGTAGGCCGCATGTTTAACTATCTAACCTAATACATCACGACTATTTACGAATATTATGATCAATTGATATAAATTAGGTAAATAATTTATTAAATGTGTTAATATTAATTAAATATGTACACACCATTGTTTAAATATTTTCCTGGTCGAGATAATCAATTTCTGTAGCTCAAAACTGATCAGCGCTGAACCAGTAGACGCACACGTTGCATGTGCTAAACAGAAAAGAAGAAGCGAAAAGCAATTTCCGGTCCGCAGTAACTTGAGTCTATTCTACTGATTTTCATATGTAATATTCTTTTGTATAAAATTTTATTATATATTATATGATATATTTAAACAAATAATATAATATAATATTGAATTTCATATCAATAAATACTGTAAGAAGCATATTCATAAATAAGCTACTTTATTATAGCTTTGCAAAGACCTATCTATTGACAAAATTATGTACGTATATGTTAGATATACATATATTTCAAATTTAGTACGTGATTTTTTTTATAATTATGTGTCGTAGCATTATTTCTGATTTAAAAAATAGCTTTGAAATACCACTGATCATCTATACATATTAGTGTTCAACATAAATTTAGGAATTAACTTGAAACAAAGTCGAAATGAAGCGGAAAGAAGAGTGGGGTTCAATTTATTGCAGACTTTTAGAAATTTAGAGTTTTACAAACTAAAAATTTACAGAATATTAAATTTTCAAATTTATAACATTTTAACTTACAGAATATCAAATTCTTAAATTTATGATATTTTTAAATTTTCAAATTCAAAAAAGATTCCAATTTTCACTTTCAAGTTGAATCAAACAACATCCAATCAAAAAATGAACATGGTTTACTTGTCACTCATTTCATCATGGTTCTCCATCCTAAGAATATGTTTAGTCCCTACATTCCTAGGTTTATTTCTATCAATCGTATCAATTGGAATTTGCCACTATGTCACGTTCCAACTTCCTATCATGTAACAGTGCATCGGGACACTATTGGTGCAGGATGTTTCTCCGTATATTTGAACCAATAGAATTCCCGTTATATTTCTTTCAGTACCTTTCATGCTGATGTTGTTTAACCACTTGAGCCTGAAGTATTCTCCAATGTAGTTAAATGTAGATGACTTCAAGTGTTCGAATTGCGCTGTCGCGTCCTTTGACACGCTTAACCGTTTACGAAAACGATTTCGCCACCTTTTTGCTAACATTTTGATCATTTTACCATGCCAGATATTTACAAAAAATTCAGAAAGTTACGTCGAAGGCGACATACTCGCACTTAGTAACAATTATAACGCGAAAGTGTGTGAACTACAAAAACTAAGATAGTGCCGTGTATCCATCACATATATTTGCTTTATTGATATTTTGAGTGTCACAGGCCTTGTGGTGCCTATGCATATCTTGAGGTAATGCATTCTTTAATAGTTACTGTACTTGTCAGTTTTTTTATAATGATACGTTTAAGAATATCTTATCTTTTTATGTAAATTAAATAGTAATACTGTTTACATTGTTTTCTTGTACTTATGCATGATAAGTAGACATAACCTACATCATGGATTATAATGTTAGAATATTTATATAGTATTAAAGATAAACAGAAAATAGTATTTAACTGCATATTTGTATTACATTTATTTAGGTAGTATTTCTGTTATTCAATTTGCATTTATTTTTTGCATAGAAGGATTTTTATGTAGTGTTTTCTTGATACCCGAGCTCCAATAATTATTCAATAGTTATAAAAACAGTTAACCTGCTAAGAATTTAAATATTAATCGTATTTTTGGTTTCTGAACTCCTACATTTATGCTGCATTTATTTTTTATTAAGTTCATATTTATGTCTTATTTACTTTGTTGCAAACTTGATATCTGTAAATTTTATCTGTTACATTATTAACCCCTCAAAACTGTAGCTTATGTGATTATGTCAAAAATTATGAAAACTATAGTATTGAGGCGTAGTAGGAAACTTGTCCAATTGTAATTGGAAAATTGGTGACTTAATATCATATCTTGAAAGTACATACAATGAAATTTCTATTATTATGTAAAGCATTGAATCAGAAGGATTAATGATAACTGATTGAAAGACTAGAAATAAAGATTTTAAGAATAAAAAGAATTCAACAATAAAATAAAAATATTTTATAATCTTGTATAATATTTAAGTATAATAATTAATATGGTATGTAATATTCCAGAATTTGGACGGTGTTCTAGATTATTTTAAGGATATAAAGTTTCTTGTATTTGGTTGAATCATTTAGTAGACACTATGTCAGAAATAGTTTACCCGCAAGGGTGCAGATCAGTTACAGAAGATCTGGGTCCAGATGAACTTATTAGAAGATTGAAGGTACATCAGTGGAAAAACTTTTTATGTTTAGAAATATTATTATACAAAGGAAAAAATAGCTGACATTATATTTTGTTAGACATTAGCTCATACGTTACAAGCAATGGGACAAGATGAAGGAATGTATCAGCAGTACATACCACTTGCGTTACATTTGGCAGAAGAGCATTTTCTAATGCATCAGAGTAAAGATGTTCAACTTCTGATTGCTTGCTGCATTGCTGATGTTTTAAGGGTTTATGCACCTGAAGCTCCATATAAAGATGCAGAACAAGTAATGAAATAATATATTGAGGAATAAACAAATCTTCTATAAAATATTAATATATACTTGAGTCATATCTGTATTTGTTACAGGTCAAAACGATATTCTTATTTCTGATTAAACAGTTAGCTGGGTTAAAAGATCCTAAAGATCCTGCTTTTAAAAGATATTTTTATCTTTTAGAAAATTTGGCATATGTGAAATCATTTAATATGTGTTTTGAGTTAGAAGACTGTCAGGAAATTTTCTGTGCACTCTTTTCTCTTATGTTTAGGATAGTAAAGTGAGTATAATTTAAAATAAAATGTAATGTATGAATAAGTAGTATGTATTAAGTTGTCTTGTAATTATAATTTCAGTGATGAACATTCTGGGAAAGTCAAAAGTTTTATGTTAGATGTATTATGTCCACTTATTACAGAATCAGATATTGTTAGTAACGAACTTTTAGACATTATACTTATGAATATTGTAGAACCAAACAAAACACAAAAGAAGAATGCATATTTACTTGCAAAAGAGCTAGTGATTAAATGTAGTGATACATTAGAACCATACATTCAAGCAGTGAGTAGAATAAAACCTAGATATTTTTTTATTTGTAAGTATATTTGCACAAGATCAAACAAGATAATAATAAATTTGTTATGTTTAAATTTTTTAGTTCTTTAATCATGTTTTAATTCTGGGTAAAGAGGAAAAAAGTTTACAAATCTGCAAAAAAGTATATGATTTGATTTATGAGTTAAATCACATATGTCCCAGCGTCTTGCTGTCCGTCCTTCCACAGTTAGAATGTAAACTAAAATCTTCTTCTGAAACTGAAAGATTGGGTGCTGTAGCATTATTGGCAAGAATGTTTTCTGAAAAAGGATCTCAGTTAGCTGTGCAGCATACGCAGTTGTGGCGAGCATTTTTGGGAAGATTTAATGATATCAGTGTATCAATTCGTATAAAATGTGTGCAGTATTCAATGCATTTTTTACTGAATCATCCAGAACTAAGAAAGGATATTACTGATACCTTAAAATTAAGACAGCATGATGCAGATGAAAGTGTTCGATATGAAGTTGTCATGGCTATAGTGACTACTGCCAGGAGGGATTTTGAAGTTGTTTCAGACAGTGAAGATTTATTAGAATTTGTTAAAGAGAGGACTTTGGACAAAAAGGTATGTAATTTTTATAGGAAACATTCTATGTGTAAAGTACAAAAAATTACATTGATATCCTAACAACTGCTTTAATTTTTAGTTTAAAATCAGAAAAGAAGCAATGGCAGGATTGGCAATGATATACAAGAAACATTTGAACGATGCAGATGTACCACAAGCTACAAAAAAGGCTGTCACTTGGATAAAGGACAAAATATTGCATGGTTATTACATGGCAGGAATGGAAGATAGATTACTAGTAGAGAGATTGTTAAATACCTGTTTAGTTCCTTACCAACTGCCAGCTGGTGAAAGAATGAAGAAATTATATCATCTATTAGGTACAATCGATGATCATGCATCTAAAGCATTTGTGGAACTACAAAAACATCAGCTTGCGTAAGTATATTTTGTTTTTTGTTAATTTCTTGGTAATCAAATATACAATGTAAGTTTATTACTATTTTTATATAAAATTTTATTTTTTAGTGTACGACGGGCAGTAGTTGAATGGCTAGAAATTGTAAAAAAACCGGATGCTGTTGTTGAACTGGTGGCTAAAATTCACCAGATATCCCGCTTTTTACCAGATCCTATGAAAGTTCAAGAATTTTTACAAAAATTCAGTGCTCATATGAGGAAAGATTCAGCATTGTTGCAAGGAATGGAAACAATAGTGCAGCCAAATGTCTCTTGTAAAGAGTGTGCAGATACAATAAGTATGGTTTTGAAAAAGTTAGGTCAACCTGTCATGACAAACTTATACTACAACACAATAAAGATGTTGTTAGAAAGAGTAAGTTCTGTCATGATTGATGAAGAAGCAATCAGGGTAAATATACATAATTTACTTCTTAATTATTGTATTCATATTTTTACATTAATCGTATGTTAACAGGTTTTAATCGGATATGTATTAGATTGTTTAAAAGGTGGTAACGTAATAGAAGAAGTTGGGCTTAATCCAAATAATGCAGGCGAAAAAGGTCTAAGACTGCTTGTGGTAAGTTCCCAGTTCTATCTTTTTAAACATCATCTTTATATTATTGATTTATTCTAAATATATTTTTTATAGATGCTATCATTTGTATTTGGTCCACATTTTCTTCACAATGATATCTTGATGCAACTTGTCCATCTTTTAGAATTGGAAGATGAAATGGTAGCTCCATTGGTACTTTCAATATTTACATTTTTAGGAAAATATAAGCCTTTGTGTGATGTTGCACCAGATATTATGAACCTTATGGTTCCAATATGTAAGAATTTCGCAGAAACGGGAACACCAAAACAAGCAAAGCAAGCTATCAGGTGTTTATTTGTTAACATGACCAATATACACGATACAATTTTTCCTGAAATCATTGAAAGAATTAAAAATAGCCTTACACCAAGTTCAGAATATTATAGAACATCTATAGTTACATTAGGTCATATAGCTTATAATTTACCAGAAAAGTATCAAGTACAAATAAAAAATATGGTGTCTAGAAAAGTAAGTTCTAGTGCAGTACTATCATTTAAAAACTATAATAACAAGTTTTGATGTAATCTAATATGAATATTATACACTTGTAGATAGTCAAAGAATTGTTAGTAAAAGAAAGCAGTGAACAAACTTCTGACACCATTGAAGGAGATTGGTGCAGAGAAGATCAATTACCTGAAGAAACACGTTGTAGGTTGGAGGGATTAAAATGTATGGCACGCTGGTTGTTAGGATTGAAGACTGATGTTCTCTCTGCGCAAAAAACATTTAGAATGTTGAATGCATTTGTAGTAAACAAAGGAGATCTTTTACAACAGGGCCGTTTAAGTAAAGCAGAAATGAGCTGGCTACGATTACAAGCTGGTTGTTCAATGCTAAAAATTTGTGAACAGAAAGGTGTTGGTGATCAATTTACAGCTGAACAATTTTATAATCTTTCACAACTCATGGTGGTATGTTAATATTTATGATTTAATGTTTATTAATATATTTTTTAAATAAATTATATATTCTGAAGAAATATATATATGATCGTTGTAAAATAGTAGTTTAACAAAAATATTGTGAAAGTTGTATCGTGAATATTTTATTTAAAGGATGAAGTTCCACAAGTAAGGGAAGCTTTTGGTAGTAAATTACACAAAGGACTTGGAAGGGGAATTCCCAATAAATGCTTGCCATTAGATTTTATGGGCTATTATGCTCTTGCTGGCAAAGAACAAGATAAAAGACTAAAATGCGTTTTAAAAACGTACATGCAAACCGACATAAATAAAAGAAGGGATTATGTAAAAACACTGTCTTTGGGTACAGTGGAGAGGGCCATGGGTAAGAAACTAAATAGTAAGGCATTAGTGAAATATTGTTTGATATTGTTTGTTTTTATTCTTGTCAAATAATGTTAAAAATTTGAGCATTAACTACTCGATTAAATTATCCTTACAGGTCAACTGCCACACATTCTTCCCGATTATATGTTAGTGTTTGCAGTCCCTATTCTTGCACACGATCCTGAATTCACAAGTCATCTAATGATTAATCAGTTAAAAGTGATACAACAGTGTCTGTGGTTCATATTAGAACCTCTTATAACAAAAAACGAATATTATTGTTATGGCTTTTACAAAAATTTAATAGAACGAATGAAAAGTCATAAAGATGCTTTAAAGCCTGAAGATAACAACATGAACTATGTAAGTATTTTAAAGTATTTATTACTTACGATTAAACATAAGAAATATACCTTTTTTTGTGTATATGCAGAAATTGTGGGCTGTTTGTGACTTGGCTATGAATGTAATATATACAAAAACAACAAATTTCGACATGAAGGAATTCCCAAGTGAAACACGGATTCCCACAATGTACTTTAAACGTGCAGATGAACTGATAGCTAACACTAGGAATTATTTACCTGCTGAAATGCAAATAAACATGTCGAGCCCTAAGGGAAAAGTTTCACTTCACAATGCACATTCTGTTAGTGAAAGACCACAGCGTAGAGCTAAGTCCAAGCAACAAAAGGAAGTGGGCATTGGGCCGAATGAAACTGATGCAAGGGTAAGATAATTAAAACAATTTGAAGTTCAGTTAATCTAAATGTTCGATTCACAATTTAAGGGGGTAAAATTCATAAAAATTATTGATTTATTTTAATCATATATAGTATATGTATATGTATAGCGTGTTAAGAAATTTTAAGTATGTATGATATGATTTCAAGCTGCAAATTGGAGAAGTGGAATGTATTGATGCACAGGTAAAATTATTTAGAATTTCACTAGAGTATAATATCTTGTATCATTTATTTTGCAAATGATATATAACATCTTGTTATTATTGTAAATGATGCATAACATTGCAATTTCTTTACAGCCGGCAGAAGCATCAGAAACTAGAATTCAATTACCTGGATTAGAGGAAGAAGTAAGTAAATAAGCTTAAGTATTACGTTCGATACATAACAAGAATATAATTTTTCAGATCGAAGAACCACCGGCAAAGAGGGCATTAAGAGAATCAGATAAAGTAAATAAATAATTAAGTGAATGGATTGTATTGAAGAGGATGCTAGGAGTAGGGGAAAGACTTAAGAGACGTGATGATCATAAGAATTAAAGAGTCTAAAGAACTTTACAAATTAGAAAACAGAATATTTTGGTTATGTACAACAATTAATAAACATGTCGTTCGCGTATGTCTAGACAGTAAGATGTTAAGATAATGATACATTAACGTCAAATAATTAATACATGTAAGCTTACGACTCAAAAACTTTTACAAGGTTACATCGCATTGGTAAATAATTAAAAATTAAGTATTTGACCATCTCGAAAATGTTTTCTTTTGACGATAAAAAGAAGCATAAAATTATTTTCTTTTAATTTTTTAATATATTAACAAAATTAATGGCATATTCGATAACATAAAAGTGATTCTTTTCAAATTTACAAATGTATGATAAACATCTTTTTTATAAAACTTTTGAAAAATGTTTCTCAATTGAAGGTCTTTCTTCCTTGTGAAATATCTGACAATTGTTGTATTGTTCACTTTTGCATTAACGAATATAAATATTTGTACTGTCACATAAAGTTTTCTTCACAGCTGAATGAAATTATATACAAAACTTTTGTTACGAATAATTTCTAAACAATAAAATCTATATATATCATCACATATAACTGTAGTTTTCAGTAAAAAAAAGGTAATGGAGAACAAGTTTTATTATAAAAAGTATGTCGAGGTAATAAAATACATTTGTACGCAGAAGAGAACAACATAACGTTGTTGGATTTCTATAAACATCGTATTCTAGATAAAAGGGTGGGTGTGTCAATTGGCTTTGCGATCCAAAGTTGTTTGTTTCTATTAATCTGATTATCATTATTATTCTTAATATTATCTTATTGCTATTATTATTATTATTTTATTAAAGAAATTACGTCGTTTTCATGACCGCTATTTTCTAATAAGACATGTATTGTTTGATAAAACTATCTCGTTTATATTTTAATTTTAAAATTAACTTAAATGAGATTTGGTCAGCGCACGACCACTAATTTATTTCAGACAAGGTGACCTTATAAATACTTCAATAGTATCTAATACATGTATACTTATAAATATATCTTTGATAAATAGTGCGCATTAATATAAAAAGTTTTGTTATACAAAAATAATGAGAATACAGTATCAATCTGATAACTGATTGAAGTTTATTATCCTCGTGTGTGGCAGTTATTCCCGTACTACTGTCATTATTGTACATGCATTACAAAATACTTCCGTATTATTTCAATTCAAATTTGTATCCAGAGATTACAAAAAACAAAGTAAATATTCTTACTTCATGTTTCCCATGTTATTTGATACCATATGTTTTAAATATGTATGTTCAGTTATATCTTTGTTTATTTTAAATACATTACATTCATATGATTAATTTTCATAGTAACATTTCTATACAATTAGAATCAGTAAAACTAGATAAAAAAAAATCAGTAAAATAATTTTTGTTTACTATATAAAATTTTAGAACGTAGTTGGGTACAAATTTGAATACAATTAAAATAATTTAAAATGGGCCTAGGTTTTATAAAATTTCCTTTTTCAACATTAGAGTTCTTAGCATTAAGCAGTAAATTGTATTAAATTTTAAGACGAGAGTAAACATTGTGTATGAGGCTGTGAATGGTGACGAATGCTTGAATCTTATTATATAAACATTATAGAATTAACACATACCTATTACCTCTTCATTGAAATTACAGTACAATGCAAATTTTTGCAGTTTTCAATCTTTTTTCCAACATTCATACAGATACTCTGTACTTTTCATTTATAAATTATTGTTTCATAATCCATTACTCATGCATATACTGTTATACTGTTTAAAATTAATAAAATCTTATTGTATATTTCTTTACGTTGCAAATTTATGCTGATATAAGACATATTATATTGTGTTCTATGCTATTATTGTAGAAAATATGTTTTCGTAGGCATTTCGTTGCATGGTACTGCAATTTTTTCAAACAGGTTATAGACTACAAAATATACATATTCTGACGAAAAAACCAATTAATCAGTGCTATTCATCTGTCAATCTGTGAGACGTAAGTGACGCATTGTAACGGTTCTATAATAAAACAAATTAAATAAAATGGTATGTATTTAATAAGATTTAGTTACAAATATAAAAATTTGATTTAACGTTTCCTAAAAGGTTTCCTAGTATCCTTCTTCCCTCTGTTTAAATTCTGTGCACCTTTCCTTTTGCTTTCATTTTTCTTAACATTTGCCCTAATACAAATAAAATTTATTTATGAGTCTCATATAATATTTAATTATCAATATGCATTATTATAATAAAATAGATATACTTACTCGTAACGCATTCTTTTCACAGCTTTTTTACTTGTATCCGTTAAATCAGCAGCAAATGAAGATTTTGACCGCTTTAAAGATCCTAAAATATAATAAATATTAGACAAAAAATATTAAAACATTAAGATTAATACAAATAATTTGCCATAATATACCTCTTTTATTGGCCATGAATTTATCATCATCCACGACTGTCCTGAGTTTCTTTTGCTTATTTTTCTTTTTAGCTAATCTTGCTTGAACTGCCGCAATTTTTTCTAATTCCTTCATTGCTCTATCTTCTGCTGTTTCCTTTTTGGGTCCTTTAGATACTTTCTTATTCGTTTCTTTAACTATATTCGGAGGTTCATCATTCTTTTTCTTCTCTTTATTAGGTTTTGGTTTCTTTTCTGTTAGGGTTAATTTTTCTAAAAAAAATAATAAAACCAATTATTTTTTATAATTATGCAATTATCAAAACTAAATGTTGCAGCATTAAAACAAACCTTTTTCTTCTTTCCTTTCTTTCTGTGTTTGGAACCAACTCCTTTGCGTAGACTTATTTTCATCCTTAAGTAACTTTTCAGCACGATTTGCCTGATTTTCTATTTTAGCTAGTTCTCTTTCATTTCTCTCTTCTTCTAAAATCTTTTCAACATCAGGTTCAAGAGATTTTAATTTTTTATTGTATTTTTCTATTATATCAGGTGGTATTATTCGATTTTTTACTGGATTTTTTGCATTTTTAATAATATCTTTAACCAAAGAACGTTCTTGTTCTCCAGCTAATGACACTGAAACTCCAACACGACCAGCTCGAGCTGTTCTTCCTACTCTGATATACAAAGTAAACAAAGATTATTTTTTCCTCTTTTTTTCTATAGAATACAATTAGTTTTGCTATATATGATTACGATTATTAAGGTATATAAGTTATAAAGGTGTGAAATACATATAAATCGAATTATTAATACCTATGAATATAATGTTGCATAGTTGCTGGCATAACAAAATTGATTACGGTCTTTACGCCACTAATATCTAAACCTCTTGCTGCAACATCCGTTGCTAATAAAATATCTATTTCTTCATTTTTGAATTTCCGTAGGTTTTCTAAACGTTGAGGCTGTGTAAGATTACCGTGAAGTTCTCCAACCTAAGATGTATGTAAATATTATTATTTAATAATGTAATAAAAACTTTATAGCTAAACCTCACTAATGTATGATATATTTTAAATACCTTGATACCTAACAATCCTAGTAGAATATGTAGTCTATGAGCTTGCTTCTTGGTTTGTACAAAAACCATAGTATGATCATGAAAAGTTCTACAAACTAAAGCAGCCAAAATAGCTTCACGATCTCCTTCTCGTTCTTTTCGTATCCTACATTGAAGAATATATAACAAGTGAGTGTGAAAACAAAATATATAAATTTCATGAATATTGTTGTAGCATCTAATTGTCATATTAATTTGTTTACCGAATAAATTCCTGACGTAAATTGAACGCAACATCTTGATTACTGTCTACAAATACTTTAACTGGTTTATCTAAAGATACCGCAGCTAAGTCTTTTACTTCTTCTGTCATAGTAGCCGAGAATAGCATAGTTTGTCTAGTTCTTGAGCATTGCTGCACTATGTATTTCATCTGCTCTGCGAAGTACTCATCTAACATCCTTCAATAAAATTAACATATACTTTTTTAGTTACAAGATACAGAATATGAATGAAGTACTTTTTGTAGTTTACCTGTCCGCTTCATCCAAAATAAGTACTTCAATACTGTCTAATGAAAATGTTGGTGTATTTTTCAAATGATCTATTAATCTTCCAGGAGTAGCTATTACAATATCTGGGTTTTTCCTTAGTACAGTTTCCTAATTAAGCAATGACAAATTCACTAAGCAGTTTTTATTAATTTCATATTTACAATAATGTCCAGTTAGTGGTTACAGGCTTCGGATTTGATAGCAAGTATTATCTAGTTGTGGTTAAAGTTTAATATCATTTTCATTATATGTATAGATCATAGCACCCTAATTACAAAGCAGAAAATATCAAATTTAAACATCGTCCTTAATAAGAAGTGTAAACAAGAATTATAAAATTTAAAATTACAAACTGGACATTATTGTACTTGATGGTATTTACATTTATAAATATTAAATGTACGTACTTGAACTTTTACATCTAAACCACCGACGGACAATCCTACTTCAACTGTAGTAAACTGAGATAACTGTTTTGTAACTTGATATACTTGTACACCAAGTTCTCTTGTTGGTACAAGGACAAGCACTCGAGAAATAGCAGGTCCATCCAATGGCCTATATAATAATCTTTCTAGAGTTGGTAACATATAAGCTGCCGTTTTACCAGTACCTGTGGCAGCACAACCACATATATCACGGCCCATTAATGCAACAGGGATAGTAGCAGCTTGAATAGGTGTCGGATGAACAAAATTCATAGTTGTGATGGCCTTTAGCAATTGCATATTGTTAATTATATTATATTATGAATTAATTCAGTCATATCTATATTTGATAAATGTATACCTTTAATAAAGGACGTGATAAATTCATTTGATAAAATGTTGCATGAGTTTCTGAGTTAGAATATTCCTCAAAATCAATTGCCTCTTCATCATTTTCTTCAACATTTTTTTTCTTTTTATTCTTTTTTTCTTTTGTCTTAAATATATCTAATATAAAATATAATATTTATATTTACTGATATTTTGTAATACTGTACAATAAAATAAATAATATCATTACCCTTTTTAAGTTCACTGTCTGACAATGAAATTTCATCATCTTGTTTAATTTCAGATGTATCTATAATTAAATCATCATCTATTGTATTCTGAAAAAAAGATTTATATATAAAATCAATTACATTATATGTACTTTCAATGTATCGTTTTCTTACAAACAAACTGTTTAATTAGAATATTTAATCATGAGCTGCATTATAAAATATATGCTAAATTATTTATTGTGATTTTAATCATTGAACTGGTAAATATTATTGCAGGAATGTAATTTATATATGATACAAAAATGCCAAACAGCACACTCGTGCCTTTTCTACTAAATAAAAAAAAATGTTAAACTATGCAATAATATTTTCTTACTTTATGATTTAGTTAATTATCCAACCATTTATATTCTGAATTAGTTAGTTTGTAAAAATACTGATGTTCAATAATGTAATAATATTGTCCTACGACACGCTCTTTTGAACACTGTCGCTTAATACTATATTTTATTATGATTATACCTGCTAAATATTTCCTAACTTTTCATAATTATAAACTTTTCAATAAAATTGTACATACAATTAAATCAATTAACTGAATAATACTAATCCAGAAGTAGTAATTTTCAAATAGTCACAAAACCAAATGTAAAATCCATAGTACTATGTATTGAAGTCAAGAATAATAAAAGAAAAGTATTCTACACACATGCCTATGGATTTGTATTTGTGACTTATTGATTCAATTATGCAGTAAGAAAATATGCACACATACTTCCTTCCCGGATTCGTTTCTAATATTTTTAATTTTATCGTCCAATTTCGTTTTGGCTTTCCTTTTAATATATTTGTTTAAGTCATTCCATGTGTCTTTATTATAATCAGAAGCATCATTTAAAAACTGAAAATTGCTATCGAAATCTTTCTTTTGGTTTTTCTTCGGTTTGTGAGGCTGGAACTATCAAAGCAAGAAATTATTTTCACGAATATTCAACTGAAGTAATGTTACAATTTAGTGGTTATATCCTACATCTTCTTCAACGTCAGAATTCTCAGAGAAATCTGGCACTTCTTCATCTTCTTCAATGGTTTTTATTAAATCATAATTATTATCCATTTTCCATTACAAGTATAACCTACAACTATTTAATTCTAATTCCAAAACTTAACCACGTGGTAACGCCAGCAAACATGTGTTATGCGATATATATAATTGTATATACTAAATATAAGAAGACTATGCATGTTTTGTCTAGAGGGAACATGAAGCTTAAAATATAGAGTTTGCTTTTCAATATTTTAAACAGTCAATAAACAATAACTTTTCAGGAATAACTGACTTATTGAAATTAATTTTGGATTGAATTTAAATATGTGCTTTTGAATTCAGATATGATTAAGGAATGAATAACGAACGTTTTTCATTTTAAAATACAATTGAACATAAATAAAATTGAATATCAAGAACAAATAAAATTCTTCTTATCAACGGCTCGAAAATAGAACTCCTCTTGACCGACGACGACTCTGATGATCACCACAGAACCGAAGACAAAGGCACCGTTTAGCGGAGTGTGCGGGCGCCAATGGAACTACAGTTTCAAAAGTGCGTAGTTAACCTTGTTCGCCGAAGAGATGGCACTACTTGTTTCATTTTCGTGAAAATTCAAACTAGGTCCGTTTGATTAGGCGCTCCGCGCTCGCCTAACCTAATAATGTTGAGCGAGCGAGTAAATTTCACGCTAAAGCAAAAATAGTCAACCGTGTCATCCAGTTGAATTGGTTGAGTGGTGCAAGAGAAAAGCGTGGACAAGTGGTGCAAGAGAAAAACGGTGACAAAAAAGTGGAAAAGTCAAGTACATAAGTGCGAGCAAATTCAATTTTGCATTAAAGTCTACGAGGATATGGTTTTTCGGTAATTATTCCTCCGTGGCATGCGCGGGCGGCGCGTAGGAGGAATATACACGATAATGAGTACGCAAAATCGTTGATTACTCACTTTCTGAGCACAGTTTATGAACTTTTATGATTAAAGAATGGTCAGCAATGCATTATTTACATGGT